GGTAAAGTATATTTTTCAAGTAGTGGTACCCCAAACTTTCGCAGCTCTTATAAATTCCCCCTTTTCACACCATCTATAGGTAAACTCCCCCCTCCCCCCCCCCACCGCGCCAAACTGCGAGTCCACCGGCACGTACACCACCTCTTTCCTAAAATCCGCCAATCAAATGCTAATTTTTATGCTAATTTCTTTGTCAGAACACCTTGTTTGCTCGCACACAGGTCCGATGTCTGAGCGTTGTTGTGTTTCGCTAAATTCTCCTGTTTGATGAGTACTAGGTGCCTCGGTGAATGTATATGCTCTAACTTTAACATAGCTATTTCTGTGACCAGTTACAAGCTAATCACTCAGCTATTTCAATGCTAAATTCGATGCTAATTCCTTTGTCAAGGGGTACCTCTGCGGATGTGTATACTTTAACTTAGCTATTTCAATGAGCCATTTCAATGCCAAATTATATGCTAATTCCTTTGTCAAAGCACTTGGACTTTTTCTTCTCACACAGCTTAAAGGTCGTGATCTAAGCGTGGCTTCTTCCACTCCAGCGCTAATTCCTTTGTCAAGGGGTACCTCTGCGGATGTGTATACTTTAACTTAGCTATTTCAATGAGCCATTTCAATGCTAAATTATATGCTAATTCCTTTGTCAAGGCGCGTGGTCTTTTTCTTCTCACACAGCTTAAAGGTCGTGATCTAAGTGTGGCTTCTTCCACTCCAGGACTGTCCTCCAGACAGTCTCGTCCCTTCACCTGATGAAGGCCGCTTGCGTTGTGGCCGAAACGTCGTGATTTTTGGTTATTTTATTTTCACCTATGTGACTTTACCCAATAGAACCAAAGAGTAAGAGGTCGATAGTTTCCAATGGACATTGTTGAGTTTGGCAAATTTACCCTGGCTTCATGTTTCTAATATACATTAGCAGGCCAAGTATGCTGATGTGTACTGCTTTTTTTTCTTTCATAAAGTGAAAATACATTTATTAAAAAATATGTTTGTGTTTCTTCCCCCAATTTTGTTACAACTGCGCTATTGGCATTATGGCACGAGACAAATCCATCTGGAAATATCGTGGAGCAGTGAGCCCCATGGGGTGTAGCACAGCTGATTAATATATTTTTGTTTTACTTTACTGTGTGTGGGGGGGGGGGTGTACCTTGCCACACACTCTGTGATGAGATTGTTTGTCGGATAGTGAAAAAAAAATGTGTTTTCGCATTCTCAAATCTGGGGATTTTAGCCAAATTAAGTGAAAAACAAATGTTATGAATCTTGTCGGCAGAGTGGCACAGTGGTAACACTTCTGCCTCACAGCAAGAATCGCCTGGGTTCGATTCCTTACTCGAGTGTCTCTCTGTGTCGACTCTGCATTGGAATTCTCCGGTCTCCTTCCACAGCCAGAAAAACATACAATATAATTAATATTGGAAAAAAGACATCCCAATGCTGAAACATTACCTCCAAATTACTTAATTGGGATTGCACATACCAACATCATCCTCTGCTGCGAAAACTTGGCAGGACCGTCCTGAGAAAGAGTTGAGATGCAGTGAGGCTTTCGTGGGTAAACAAGCGTAGCGATGATAATAAGCTACCTGTTACACATTATTTCAGTGTTTCACATAACAAAAAGAAACGCAACCTATTTTCGTATTAATAATACGTTATACAAATGTTTTAATTGAAGATATTCTCATAAACACATCACAAACATGGTCATTGTTTTCAGGAACATTAACGTATATATATTCTTTATGGCAAAATGATGCGATTTCACATTCCCAGAGAGGCACTTGCAAAAGGCCCTATGGGGGGGGGGGGGGGCTGCTCGCGATTCTCCCGTTGCCAAAACAGCCACGACCGCTCGCGTTTATTACAAACACGTGAGGCCCACAGCACAGCGCTGTCTAGAAAGCAAACAGGGGTTTTAAAAAAAGACATGCCTTCCATGGTTCCAATCCCTTAAGGCATAAATCAAACCTTTCGACTAACTTGTAAACAGCCAAATATTGTTGTTAAAACTTTAGAACCTACAGTAGTAAGCCGCGACTATGATCCCTTTGATGCGTTTTGGAGTTGTACCACATGTTGTTCGGAACGACGTCTGACGTTTCGCTCCACACGCTGGCAGCTTTTGTAGGAACTTGCACAGCTTTCTGGGCACGTGTAGACGGAGCAACCGAATACCACACGTGGTATAACACGAAAACACATAATGTACAGCGTAGCCGTGAAATATTACAAGTCACATCGTTCGCCGTTGGTGTTACTTCACGATGATCAAGAATATTTGCAGATTCACTTGTCCCATTGGCTGACACCTATCAAGGGCATGCTCGGCCATGATCAATCCACTGCTGGATGAAGGCCTTTCCTTAAGCTGTTGCCATCTCTCATGTTCCTGTGATGTGACAATCCCGTGAGCGCCTGCACGCGCGGTGATTTCGTCACTCCATCTTCATGGTGGATGTCCGTCGTGGGTTTGTTGACTGGCACTTTAAGCTGGTGGTCAAATTATAGGGACAAAGTTTACAAATCAGCTAAATACTATTTGAATGTTTTTTTTAAATAATGTTTGCATTCCAGACGTTGACTTCCTTCCCATTTTTAATGACTTTCAGCTGTTCACAGCCACAAGCTGCCAACACGGTCTTTTTTGTCTTTTCATTCTACACACACCACACTTTATATACATTGTGTATTATTTATTAAGAGTTCACAATGTGTTTCTCCGTACGTTTAATATTGTTTTTACGTCGGCTTGTTTATGTTATCAGTTATGTGGATTTAGTTCCCCCCCCCCCCCTATTATCCTTACCCCTGCTGTGGGGAGTGAAACCCATTCTAGTCTCACATCTGTCTAAATGCACGAGTGTGTATAAACCTCTGGCATTATATATATACACATTTGTTCTTGTGAAATGTATCAGCCAAAAAAAGCAGATGCCATGAAAACTCCCTTTCCAAGGAACTGCCTTCAAGAAATATACATTTTAAAGCAGTAGATAAGTTAATAATATTTCTGCTTTAGGCTTTCACAGCTGTACAGATTCATACCCACGGCATATTTGGGTGAGCTGCACGTGGAGATAGAGTGACCCAGTTTGGATTCTATCCCCGCACAGCTAACCCGAATGCACTATTGGTATGAATAACAATATGGGCACTTCACACCAAAGTCATAATTTCCCCCTCGCATTAATAATATCACGTGTTGAATGAATCCACGCGCAACGTTCACTCAGTAAACCATCATGAAATCGCGAGGCATTTTGTATGTGACAGGAAACCTGATCAACCGGGAGGACACTTGAACAGTGCTACACAGGCAGCCTGCCAGTAAACCTTATCTCTGTACTTTCCAGCAGTGTACAGGCAACACCTTAAACAGTACTGACTAATACCATACCTTATGTAACAATGTCTTTTAATATAGGAATAGGTTTTACCCTTTTAACTGGCACAAAAACTGACACCTTTATTCAAGGCATCATGTTTGCAATGACCACAACACAAGCAGTCAAAATGCAAACAAAAAAGACAACTCTGATAATTATCATTGCAAACATGATGCCTTGAATAAAGGTGTCAGTTTTTGTGCCAGTTAAAAGGGTAAAACCTATTCCCATATCTTGTTTCTGGCAAAGGAGGTCTCATAATGTCTTTTAATGTTGAATTTTCTTTTTAAACCTGTTATTGACTCCAGGACTGTAAGATAAATGGTCAATAACAAGTGGAATAACTTGTTAGTTAACATGGAATCTAGAGTTTAACACGGAGGCTTTCGAGACCAATATGATCCATAATACAGGTTTTTGGGTTAGTTTTGTTTTGGGTTAGATGGGTTGTAATTACTGGCGAAACGTCGTACTCAAGATTGTAAATGTTATGGATATGCTCTCCAACACACCGGTGTGCTGTACTAGCAACGAATCGGCATGTTCTGTTTACGTGATAAACCTTAAAACTTACTAATTGGCTGCGTCAGGTGGTGGCGGGTTTAACGACACATTTATATTTACGCAATCTGCAGGAATAACTCTTTGGTTCACGTAGAAATAAAATAAAATAAATAATAGAATACGACGTTTCGATTGCAACACAAGCAGCCGTCATCAGGTATGATTGGATGAAAAACAAACCTATATTCTTGGTTCTTTCGGTAAAGTCACGGAGAAGGGAAACAATAAAATAATAAAAATATAATATTGCAGTCACGAAAGCTTTAAATAAAAAAACAAACCTAGTAAACTTATAAATGTACTGCAATGCAACACAGAGAGTCGGTTTACACAACAGTTAACACTTTACCTGGTTGATTACGTTCTTCCAAAGATTGCTAAATTTAAGAGAGAGAAAAAAAAACAGACACGGAGACACACAGAGAGACACATGCAGAGAGAGACACAAAAAACCCCTGTATTATGGATGGAATCCACAATCCAAAAAACAACAAGTTCATAAAAAATGGCACTGGTTTTGTTTTACTGTTGCTGAAAGCAAAGAAAGATCTTGACACTTCAGTCAAATGACCCAATTCAAACAATACTGAGTTCACTGTGAGCTCAGGGTCGGATTTAGGTACGTTTACAATGGGGCCACCAGACCAAAAGACCCCCCCTCCCTGTCCCCCTCGTTTTAGTTTATAGTCTTTTAAAATAGTTTTTTTTGTTGTCTGTGCGTTGTCTGAGCTTCACCGGACACAAATTAACCGCAATACCTTACAGATCTCAAGGAACATAAACCATCACAGGAACTTGGGTCATCCTCGCAGCAGCTTTTGGCTAGCCATCGAACGGTGGCGGTATTGCGGCATGTTCAGATGCGCTAACCGCAGCCGCCTGGAACGCTCTCTCCTTCCGATATTAGGAAGCCACTGGAGCCACGCACCTTTAAATCTAAGACTGAAAACTCGTTTCTTTGGAACTGCTTTTTTTTTCACTATGTACGGTGCGAAAGAAGTACAACATACGTACCATGCCATGCCGCTTGTCTCCCCGCAGCTTCCCTTCGCCAACGACTGCGGTGACGACGAGGAGTGCGTGTCCGACCTCGTGCTGCACCTGCGCTCCGACGTCCAGGGATCCAGGTAGGAGGCGCATCCACCATATTCCACAGTCGTTGCTCTCAACGGATATGCCAACCTTGCGATTCTTCCAATTTATTTGTGGGCATGCTAAGAAAAGGCCGTTGTCTACTGATACCACATCAGTTTTTTTATTTTCTGGACGTCATCAACGTCAGTATCACCACGTCATCCATCATCATTCATCGTCAGCCATGATCAATCCACTGCTCTATAATTGCCTCTTCAAGCCGTCGCCATCACCCATGGCCATGCGAAGCAACTATCCATGTTGTTCCTGCACACGAGCTTATTTCATGACTCCATTCCAGAAGCAAGATACCCCCTCACGGGGTCGTCTTTGCAGGATATCTTTAATCGCAATATTTATTTTCATGATGAAATCAAGGATGGCATCATCGAGTGCTCATATTGGGGTGGGCATAGGAGGAAATGGGGGTGAAGCAGTGGAGCGGTGGTGATGTGGTGAGCGAGCGCACTGCGCTGTAACTCCCAGATGCCCGAGTTCAATTACCGACCATGGCAAACATCGGTAGAAAGTGACATGTGAACCGGTCCTGGGCTTATCCACCTTCACCAGCACAGAATAACAATGATGGAAAAGCATGGTTCCAACAACCCTCAACACCGGCACGGCATGGCGATACCTTCATCCGGCAGATGGTTGACCATGAAGTGTAAATGATAGGTGTGTTGTGGCTGGGACTGGGCGTACGCATAATACCTCTTCTTTTGTGTGACATGTTGCAGAGATAAGCAACTGATTTTTGGAACACGAATAATGATTATTCAATTTGACGTCTCGGCTCTCTAGCCATTCAACTGGTTTCAGTGCAAGTTGACGAATTGTTACGGTGCCACCGCTCCGCGGCCTTGATGGGCAGCAGTTCACCGTGTGCTCCGTTGTTTTTTCCGCAGTGCAGTCGCAGGTGGGACTATATGATCAGAATCAAAATATGTATTTAGGCTGGATGTATCCGATGAGCTACAAAGCTCTTTTTCACAGATGCCCAGTAGGGGCAGGTCAGAACGTTACAACAATAAACAATACAAAACACGATAGCGGCGCAAAGTATAAGAAAGGTAAACAAATTATTAAAAAAACTTACTTTACTAAGTAAACCCCAATGAGCTATCAGTTTATTTTTCAGAAGCGACCAAATCGCTAATGATGGCTTAATGAAGTGGCTTATCACGCGGAAATGTATAGCAGCCAAATCGAAATTACAGAAATACAGACAATTCTCGACTTATGGTCACCCGATGTACGAACACTTACCATCCAGCTTCCGCGGCACTACTATTTTGTCCAGCTGAGCGATTCCCCACGAGATGCAAACGAGTCAGCCTTGCGGTGGGAGTGAGTCTTTGTCTTTAGTACATTACTGTGTTATGACTTACAAACCGTTCGACTTACGAACAGATATCTCAGGAACGAATTGTGTTCGTAAGTCGTTGACTGTCCGTACAAGAGAGCAGACACTTATTGGTATGGTGGTGTGTGTGTGTGTACGCATGTGCGCGTTGCATGCGTTTTGTGTGCGCAGCATGGCTCCGTACGTCATCCGCAGTGGGCGGAGGCGCACGTCCGTATGGGCGACGCTGGAAAACCGTGGCGAGAATGCCTACAACGCGCGGGTCAACGTCTCCTTCTCGCGGAACCTGCGTCTCGCCAGCATCACACCCACCGTGAGGGACACAAGCCACGCACTCTCGAACCGAGACGAGGATACAATGCAATCTGGATTCATGTAGAATAAAACAAAATGTAACCGCACAGTAAATATGCGACATACGCATCTTTGTCGACTGAAATATATATCAATACACAGAGAGGTCTTTGAACCTAGATTTGAACATTGGAAGGAGCCGACAGCTTGGATGGCTGGGCAGAGGGAGATCCTATATTTCTAGATTTGAAGTTTTCGTGACTGCAAGGATCCATACTCTTTGGTTGTTTCGGTAAAGTCACGTAGGTGAAAATAAAATAAATAAATAAGAAAAATAAGAAAAAAATTGAAATAACTAAATTAAATCGACGTTTCGATTGCAACACATGCAATCATTATCAGGTGTGAAAACCACACTTTAGTAAAACAAATTCTAGCTGTGATTTTCACACCTGATGATGATTGCTAGTGTTGCAATCGAAACGTCGTGATTTAATTTAGTTATTTCAATTTTTTATTTTTATTTTCACCTACGTGACTTTACCGAAAGAGCAAAAGAGTATGGAGATCCTATAGCCTTCGATTGTTGGAGCAAGTTGTGTTTATAAGCACCTCTTCATGGCAGCGTGGCACACAAGCGAGTGTGGTATGGATTACAATGTCTCGCCTGAACATTTTTCCAGCAATGGTGTTAGGGGCCGTCCATAAATGACGTCACGCACCTATGGGGGTCAGACATTTGTGACGATGTGTGAGGAGGGGGGGGGGTTTGAGAAATGTGACGTCACATCAAAATGTGCAACTTTAAATATAGACAACACGTTCTACTTAAATAGACTTTTTAATAAATGTTTTCTCCTACAACATCAGAGTGCAGCACCACATTAAATACGCACTACAATGACAATAGTTTAACGCGATTTTAAGCATGTGTTTTTTTTTGGGGGGGGGGGCAGAGCTTTGTGACGTCATTTATGGACGGCCCCTTTCAACTTTGAGGCCGAGTTGACCTCGAGGTATGAGAGAGATGTGTGTGGCGTGTGACATCGGTCTGTACTGTACCCACGTACTCCGTCTCATGATGGGGGGTACGGACAGGTGGACCAAGGTCTGAAGATGGAGTGCCAATTCTCGCACGAGGAGGCCGATGGAGGAACCACATGCTCACTGAGCCCGGCCGTATTCCGCCCAGGAGCCAAGGTCAGGACCGGGGTCAGACGGCAGTTGGAGGGGTCATAAAGAGTTTGTGGCATTTAAGAAGGGGGATTTTCGATGCTCTACAGGGAGGGGGTTAAGGCTAACACACATATACACATGGCCATTATAGGAAACATCATTTGTCCATCTGCGAGTCAGTTTAGTCACAGCACACACTCGAGTAATTGCAAGTATACACAGTCGAGTCTGAGGGGAGGGAACCAGCAGTCTATTGGATTGAATATGGCCCATGTGAGAATTGTGATCTTTAACCTACACCAAAAAATAGCATGCTGAAAATAAAATACAAATGTTCACCATGCGAATCCTAATAGGTTTTTTTAATGTGTAAACGGGTTTTTTCCATTTCTACAAGGGGATAAGTTCGTAAAATGTAGATCATAAAATGATTCATCCTGTGCGGTTGGCTCGTACTTGCTTGTACTGACTGTATACACACGCAGGGAAATGCGTATTCATAATTTACAGCCTTGTCTACCCACTGCTGGATGAAGGCCATGCCGTATCAGTCATACAAGTTGTTTGAACATACTTCACCACGCTGGTCAGTGTTGTTCGGTGCAAGGAGAGCCCAGGATTGGTTGAGATATCACCCACAACCAATGTTAAGCATGGCCGGGAATCGAACTCAGGTTGCCGAGTTCACAGCGCAGTGCACAAACCACTATGCCACCACTCTCCCCCTGTTATCTAAAACACATACACGATACACATCTCAACGCTTACACTGTATGTGTGCATTCTGCTGAAGAGACTCATAGCTAAAGCCAAGGTATCTGGTTCTAATATTCGGAATTATATATATATTCTGGTTTTGCTCACTTTGCTGTTAACATTGCTGGTACTTTAACAAATAAGCAGTTTCCCCCACGCTGTAATATCCCGAACGCTGTTTGACTTGGTACGCTCTTGCCCTCCCCGCTCGCTGCCTCTTCCGCTGGCCGGGACCCAGCTGGTCACGCTCCTGGAGTTCGAGTTCAGCCGCTCCGTCTTCCTGCCGAGCCTGGACATCGGCCTGCGAGCCGAGAGGTGAGACTGGGGCACCAGTGGTAACAACAATTGTGATTTCAAAAAAAATAATCGAGACAGCACTCCAGTGGCGTAGTGTCCGTTGCCATTTGTCCCGGTGCAAGGAATGATATGGCGGCCCTGTCCAATTACCTTGCACTTGATAGTCTGGAGTCTGGACGCCCCCCCCCCCCAGCTCCTGTCCGCGGTCCCCGGAGGATTTGCACCGCCTGAACCCTCGATCGCCAACGCCGCTGTGACCCTCAAGCATGGCGCAGCAGCCTAGACTCAGAACCATCCTCGTGATGTGTGTGTGTGCGTGTCAGCCCCACCCCATTCGATTTGCAACTCCTGGTGGTAATTTTAAAAGATAAATTGATCGGAGCTGTGATTGGGGAAATGCCCCTTTCTCTGTTGCTGCCCCCGTTGTCTGGAATTATCTTAACCCTGTCCGTGCTGCTGAGATCCTGCCACTGTTCAAGTCGAGACTTAAAACTTCCCCCCCCCCCCTCTCTCTCCAAAACGTCTCCATTCGCACTTCTACCATCACAACATCTCAACTCTATCCCAGGCTCTCTATATGCCAATATCTTGCCCATCTGCACAGCGTCTTGAGATGCGATCGCATTTGGAGACTTTGTGAATACGAATAGTATTTGTTATCAGGGTAGTGAATAGGGGCGCAGGGCTGGCGGGAGAATGCGAGCAGGAAGCTGAGTAGACGTCATCATTCTGGAGCCGTGCTGCCTTGGCTAGGAGCCCAAAACATTACTACTAATTGCAAAGGCCCTACATCGTGATGCTGCAAGTGATTAATGTGAGCCAGATGCGTGCATGGCCGCACCTTTCCATTTTGGCCACGCTACAGGCCGTCCTTGACTGCAGTAAAACACAAACAAGAGCTCGTTTCTTTACAGCTGCTTTGTGTGTTCAGTTTGTTGTCCCTGCACCGCCGATTAGCACGGTTGGCTCCGTACGACGCGAAATAAGTTTAACATGCATACAACCCTGCGGAACAAAGCTCAACATGAAATTCCTCCTAAATGGCTGGGTGGCTCAGGTGGCTAATGCCTGAGGAGCTAGCACCTGTGAGATGCTGGGTCTGAGTCCCAGTCAGCTTTTTTAATTACATTACAGTATACAATTTGTATTTATAAAGCATATTATTCCACCACTACAAGAGTATACGTGTAAATGCGAGTAGAAATCACCTTTCAGTTTTAATACTTTTTAATGAACCGTTGCGTGCCTACTTGGTTTCAAAGAAAGCCGATGCTCCCTCGTGGGATACCTTATTCCTAGACGGCACACAGTCTATGAATGTATATACATATAGACATCATTGTTTGATTGTTATTTTTTAAGGGGTGTCATCATTCATGTACCCCGGTGAATCGATTCATCATCACCATTCAAGGTTACCATTCCTTTGAGTAACCAATTATTCTAAATATTGTGAATAGAGCTAACTCAAATGGCCGCAGGGGTCATGTCAATCGTGCCTGGATCACGAGTTGGGAGAATCAGCATGAATGGATGACACCGGTGCATCGTGGCACCGCTAATCTAATTTTCTTTGTCGTGCTCACGGGGCCTGGCATTAATGTTTTGTCTTCACTTCGTACAGTGACAGCAAGGAGATGCTGGAGACGCTGCACGACAACGCCGCCTCGTTGTCCATCCCCGTGAGATACGAGGCTGAGATCCTCTTCACCAGGTCAGGCAACTGGAGCATGTATAACGAATGCACAAATAATGCTCGTCAATAGAATATTGTAGGCAACGTTCCCGGGTGATGCCCCTTGTTCATGACAAATGGTGTGTCTCCGTGACAGGGACTCGAACCTTCACCAGTTTGAGGTGAGCCGGGAGGCGGTGGTGCCAGACGTCATCGAGAGACCAGAGGACATTGGGCCACAGTTCAACTACACGCTGACGGTCAGGAGTCTTCCAGCACACACACAACAAAGATTCCCCCATTTAGCTTTAACAGACTATAGGGGCAAGTGCTGTTAGCGAGAAACTATGAAGGCCGGCACGGCACACGAGGTGACGGGTGGCCAGAATTACGCCGAGCCACCTTTGCCTTCCCAGTGGCGATGTTTACGCACGGCCCCAGGTACTCATTTGAGGTTGAGTCGACCTAGAGGAGGCCCAGGACCGGTTCAGATAATCGTCACCGGTGTTGGCCGTGAGCGGGAATCGATCTGGGGTTTCCCGGTTCGTAGTGCGGCGCGCTAACCGCTACACGACCGCTCCCCGCCTAATACACCACAGAGCCCCACACATGCACTCCTGTGGTACAGAGTCTGGATGGCAGGGCTGCAAGTGTTCACTTTGCAATTACAAAAGCCGTTGCGATTTCTCCGGGGATGTGGGAACAAACGCAACAGGGATCTAATGGTAGAGGTATTAGGTTACTCCACGAGGTAAAGCACTCACCTAGGGTCGTGATTTATTTACCAAAACACTGAAAGCGACAGGAGTCAGAGGCGGCGTTCAAGTAACTTCAATGCGAAGGGCTTGAAAAGTTCTTAATTTTTCGTAATAAGTAACTTGCAATCCTTGGCCGTCGATTTATCATCTTCAAAATACAAAACCAGATTTTCCGTGCCAGGGCACGAATTCTGATTTAAAACGGGTGAATGGCGAGAAGTAAATGAGATAACATGTTCTCGCAATAATCAATAATTGCAGACTGACAGGCAAATTGCCCTTTTTGCCCAAACCTCCCTCCACCCCCACCCCACCACCACCTTTGGCAGGCCTGATGACAGCTGAATAGAATAAATCACACAACCCCCATTCACATTTTTGCGAGAGATGAAGATGTTTTAAATGTGATTTACACGTGGTCAAAGCGCATAATCTGCACCAGATATGGGGTTGCACAGCAGGAAGCTTGTTCTATTTAATCCTGCACGCAAAGTGAACCACCCTGAAACACCTTTGGGGAAGAGGACAGCGAGCGCAGATGTGCGGCTGGGTAGCTCCTGAGAACCGCGCGGAGAAAAATACTCCCACAGCATTCGTGAGTCCGCGTGGCCAGCCAGCCGCGTCACTGCCTGCTCAGCTCGTTTAGGGGAGTCGCGTTTCAAGGAGCGGCTGCACACGCACACGCGCGCGCGCGCACACACGTGCGTCTTCCTGCTCTCTTCCTCTCCCTGACGATGCTTCTCCAAGCGCTCGCTTCCCTCCCTCCCTGCCGCTTCAAAATCGCAGAGTTTATTTTTACACCGGCGTTTTCTCACCCCCGACTGCGGTCCACCCAACCGCAGGGTCCGCGACCCAAGCGCCATCGCGCCCTCCCTTCGCTCGCAGCGCCTCCATCGTGACCTCGTGAAGTTCTGAGAACGCTTGAGCTGGAAGTTACCTGAACCTTCAGTGGTCCCACCGCGCAGCGGTTTTAATCTTGAACGCCTGAGGGTCGGCCAACCTTAACCCCTTCACCCCAAACGGTTCTGGGTTTGATGAGATATTGAAATGTATTTTGGGATATGGTGAAAGCGCGTGAGATAAATAACGACCGTTTGATCATGGGTTTTTTTTTGCATTGAACACACCGGATTCCCCCTGACCTGTGGTAATATGATAGAGGCAGGCTGCTCACACTAAACATTGTGCAGTCATTGAGAAAATTTGGTTATAAAATGATACATCCATAGGCAAGGCTCCGTTTTATCACTGATATTTTCCCCCCGGCCTGCGGGTATTCTGGACCGATGTTTTAACGTTTCCAAATTGTTTTCCAGCACAATGGTCCAGAGGGTTTATAGGCGAATGGACGAATATTTTATTTTATAATGTGGTAAAACCGGCCCTTGTCTAATATTTTATTCTTGATGCTGGGTTGCCCTCAATTTTCGGGGTCCCACAAAATGTGTGGCCGTTTTTTGCCCATTACAGTAGGGCACCCATTGACTTACAAGGCGTTGGCTCAGAGTGAAGGAATTCTGTAGAACCAATGAAAACAGAGTCTGTTGAAAAGTATGATTCATGAACAATGATTAGTCTGCAGAGCACACAACCTCGGGTAGTGATGGGACCTGTGTCTGTGATTTAATTAGAAATTGCCATCCCAGTTTCCCACTCGGAGGAGCAGAAATCAGATTTCTCCAATTTTTACAATGGTAAAAAATATTGACTTAAAGCTTTCGTGACTGCAGGAATTCATATTCTTTGGGTCTTTCGGTAAAGTCACGTAGATGGTTCTTTGACTATGAATTTTACAACGGAAATTGATGCAGCAAGAATTTCCGGTGAACCCACTGCCTTTTTTTTTATTGTGACCCTGCACATGCCGTGCGGGTGGTGGGGATTTTACCATACTTCACCACGCCGGTGAGTGGCCGCTGGCGAAGGCAGGGAGCATGGATGTGGGAGCACGGAAGCACAACAACGATTTTGTCCCCGTGCGTGCGCCATCCCCCTTGCTAAATATATTCCGACAATTCTGAAAAACGATTGCCGTCGACGCTAAATATCGCGGCTTGTGCCGGGGTACTTGTGCAGGTGCAAAACCTCGGGTTGTTCCCGCTCGCTCGGCTGGAGGTGCTCATCTCCGTGCCGGCAGTCACGCCGGGTGGGAACCCTCTGCTCACGCTGTCTCACGTCGAGACGGTGAGCGAGCGCCACGAGGGGCGCGACGCACAACAGGTTCCTGCACACACGCGCGACGTGCGGAGAAATGCAGACGTCGTCTGGCCGAAAAATGAAGTTACGTTTCAGACATTTGGTGAAAAAGTCAAGATGCTACAATGCTCCACCAATGTGGCCCTTCCTCTGTCGTAAACAAAAATGTTCATCAACACGTGAATTATATCTTTAGTTATATTATATAGTCTTGGTTCTTTCGGTAAAGTCACGTTGAAGGGAAACAATAAAATAATAACATATATAAAACAATAAAATTCTCACGACGTTTCGACTGCAACACAAGCAGTCATCATCAGGTGTGAAAACCAACGGCAAGAACATTTGAAAGAATGACATCTTTTACAGACGGAACCAGATCACGGATTTTATGTAATGTGTTGAAACGGACCTGGATCTTGTGTTTATACATAAAATCCAGACGGAACCAGATCACGGATTTATGTAATGTGTTGAAACGGACCTGGATCTTGTGTTTATACATAAAATCTGGATTGATGTGATTCCGGACATACAGTACCCTGGTGTCTACAAACTAAGTTGCCTCTGTGGTAGTAGTTACATTGGAGAAACCAAACGACATGTCTCAGACCGTATTCGTGAACACAAAGCAGACCTTAAACACGGTAGGACTAACACCTCGGCCGTGGCAGATCACTGTTATAAATCAGTAGGCTCACATGACATTGACTTCTCCAAGACAAAGATTCTTTGCAAGCCATCTGGCTACCATGAGAGATTCGTTCACGAGGCTATCCACATATACAAACACAATTTCAACCGAGAAGATGGATTCTGGCTTAGCAATCATTGGATTTGATAAACCATTTCGGGTCTTAATTGATTGTTCACGCTTAGGGTGGCTTTCAGACAGCATACATTAATTTTTCGTCTCCCCCCTCCCTCCTCTTTTCCGAACATAGATGGACTCGTCCATCTAAACAAACTGTCAAATTGCTATCCGTGGTGCTAATGCTTAAAAATAAATACAAACCACCACTTCTTTCAAATATTCTTACCGTTGGTTTTCACACCTGATGATGACTGCTTGTGTTGCAGTCGAAACGTCGTGAGCATTTTATTGTTTCATATATATTTTATTATTTTATTGTTTCCCTTCAACGTGACTTTACCGAAAGAACCAAGAATATGAATCACTGCAGTCACGAAAGCTTTAAATCAAAATTTATATTATATATTTCTAGACATTATTTCTTCAACCAACTGTCTCCGCAGTTGTCCCTTTGGTGCCAATCTATAATCATACGTGACTGCTTTTAAATTGCTCATAATTTATAATGCACAGCAACTGCGATAAAAAACATAAGACTATGCATATGCATGGAACACTTTCCAATGCTTGTCTCCACAAGTACTTCAATAGGTTAAGTTCCAAATAAGAACGAATTTATACTACAGGCTCGTTCATATCAGATCGTCTTAATTTGTTTATTAATGTTTTATTTTGTTGGTAGTAGTAGGGTTTTCATTTTATTAGTAGTAGCTGTATATGGGATTTGGTCCTTATATATAAGAACAGCGATAGGGCATGCTGTTAGCATTAATGACGCAATATAAAATTCAAGTATTATTACAAACGCTTTCAATCCGAGTTGAGAGAGATGACTGCTGATTGATTGGGAACATCGGCCGGAATAATGCAGCCACCGCACGACATTCACCGGCTGCACGTGCGTTGCGTGTGTGGGGTGACAGGATGTCGGCGTGACGTGCCGCACGAGTCCGGAGACCGACTGGCAGCAGCTGATCAAGAGGGAGGCGACGCTGCCAGTCTACGAGGAGGACCTGAGGGCGATGGACGAGCTGGTACGTGGGCACGCAGCACAGGCGAGGCACCTGCAAGGCAACGACGTGAAGAGAGGGGCTTTGCTGAGCCATGTGCACGGAACACACAGCTGTCGGGGGCAATAATGAGCCGACATGTATTAAGCAGGGCTTTAAGTGTCGGTTTACCACCAACCACTCCGGTTTCTTTCCTCCCAGATGCAAAACAATGGTTTGCTCAAAACTGGCCAAGCATCCAAACCAGGATCCTCTTGAAAGAAATTACCCTCGAGGCTCAGTGAGATTGCTCTGGTTAAACAAATAAGTAATTTTACACATCCAGTAACAAAACATTACTAACACAGGAGGCGGCGGCAGCAGATGGATAGAAGTGGGGCTCGTCAGCCACTCGTGATTTCCTAAGCCGCGTCGTTTAAAGAGGTCTTCTTGGACCTACCGGTTCTGCCCAATAAAGCAACCAAGTTAAGTTTCAGAGCGAGTCGCATGTCTTCTCGGCCGACAGAACTGCCCAGTAAAGCAACCAAGTTAAGTTTCAGAGCGAGTCGCATATCTTCTCGGCCGACAGAACTGCGCGACGGGTCGCTGCCACAGGGTGGCGTGCGTGGTGGAGACGCTGGAGGTCGGCCAGGAGGAGCTGATCCACGTCAAGGGTTGGCTGTGGACGCCGTCACTCACCGTGGTGAGAACACGGTGCACAGATGCACTCGCCAAGTCACTCAATCGATACCTTTGTTCAACACTGTGGCTGCCAGATCGCTCATCCGTACACGAAAGTGAGACCAGATCGCCCCAATGCTCGGTCCGTGCCCCTGGCCAAACCAAATCCCGAATCAGTTTTAGGATTTCATTCTTCGTCTTCAAGATCCTCATTGGGCTCGCACCTATCCACCTCTTCCCCTCTTATCTCTCTAATCTCTCCACACACTCTTCGCTCCGGCAACCAATGCCCTCCAATGGCAGACTCGTGCCCGATTTCAGGCCAGGTGCCGAGCTACTTTTTTTCCTAAAGGGACAGCTGCCACTGGGGGTGCACTTTAAATATTTTAAAGGCGTTTATTGCACGTAAAGCTCTCTGTGATGCCCCAGCATAAAGGGTGTCCTCTCAAAAGCTCATTATCATGAAAGTCCCCCAGTCAACCTTCGCTCAGTGGGAGGTTGCTCTTTTTTCTGTGCTACCCACACATTCTGGAACTCCTTTCCCCAAGCCCTCCGTGCCATCAGCTTCCTCTTCCAGTTCAAAGTTCAGACCTTTGTTTACTATTCTGTCTACGACCGACTGCCTCTAAAATAAATGTTCCTACCGTTTCTGCATCGTTTTTGGAGCTTCAGTCGCATCTTATGTAAATTTGCATTGCATTGTCAAACTAGGAGAGCCCTGGGTCATCAAAGCAATGCAGTATAGGCAACAAACGGTAAAAAACAACCGTACGAATATATAAATGTAGATAAAAAGACTTAAATTCACACGTAACATTACAAATTATTTAAATACAATTTAAAATTTAACAATTATTTTTAGTAAGATATAAAACAGTGCAGTGGTTAGCTCACTGCGCTCTGATCCCGGTGATCTCATCTGAATTCCTGGCCATGGCCAACATCAGTGGCGAGCGATATCTGGACCTTTCCTGGCCCCTCCTTCACCAACCCACTGACCAGCATGGTGAAGTATGGTCAAACACGCACACAATTGACACAGCATGCGAAGGCCTTCATCTAGCAGTAGATTAACAATCGTCAGTAACATTTATATACAATTTAAATGAGGTACGAGACCCCACTCAAAAGCACTTATCGTCGATATTGTCCAAGCAAGGAATAGCTACCCACCGACCTGCAAGGTAATGGTTTCTACACATGTAAGAGATGCAAGATGACTTTCTCAAGAGTAGTAAATTCAAATTTTTACTATCATTTTTATTGCTAATTTCCGCAGATGAAATTCAAGAGCTTGAAACTCAACACGACTGCGGAGCTGCAATTAAACCGGTCTCAGCTCATCCTCATGAAGGAGGACAGCCGGTGGAGATACGTAAGTCACAGTTGCAGACCCCGGAAGAGGGAAAATGCACTGACTGCCGACATCCTCTCATCCTGACGAGGCCATCACCAACACCGCAATAACGCAAGCACAGACATCACGTGTTTGAGTCTGTGTGACCTCTGAAGGGCAAAGCGGTGATGTAGTGTTTAGCGCACTTTACTACGAATCAGGTTAGTGGCCGTCCATAAATGACGTCACGCACCTGGGGGGGGGGGGGGGTTAGATATTTGTGACGATGTGTGACGAGGGGGGGGGGTTGAGAAATGTAACGTCACATCAAAAAGCGCAACTTTAGACAACTCGTTCTACTTAATTAAATAATAAATGTTTTCTCCTACAACATCTGAGTGCAGCATCACATTAAATACGCACTACAATGACAATAGTTTAAAGCGATTTGAAGCACTTTTTTTTTTGGGGGGGGGGGGGCAGAGCTTTGTGACGTCATATTTGAGGTCTGACTTTTTGTGACGCCGTGACGAGAGGGGGGGGGAGTAAAAAATCGTCCAAAATCGCGTGACGTCATTTATGGACGGCCCCTTGCGCAAGTTCTATTCTTTCTTTGGCGTGGACCAATCAGTTTCAAAGACAATGCAAATATTACCAGAGCATGTTTTTTGTTTGCATGTTCACCACAAGTACCGTGTGTGGTTAATGCACACAGGATTCCTTGAATAAGGATTCTGTTTGGTGTTTTAACATCGTGACACAACTGCTTCATTGGCAGAAAGGGCAAAAGCTATTGCTATAAACCTTCGTGTCTGAACTCTGAACCCCACCCCAGATCGTGATGGAGATCACCAAGGAGCGCGGCTCCTCCGTGCCGCTGTGGATCATCATCGGCAGCGTCCTGGGTGGCCTGCTGCTCCTCGCACTGCTCATATACATGCTGTGGAAGGTGAGGCGACACTCACGCTCCCAACTTCCAAGGCCAGAGCCGCGTCCATGCTGACCTGGCGACAGTCATCACGGACAAAACCCGGGGGGGGGTTTGAACCCCTCGCGCAAAGCTCGGGTGAAAGAACGGACGGAAAGTATTTTTTTTACAAGAGTCAAGTGCGATAACGTTGGCCCATCCATACGCCGTTAGCCCAACGTTGTGTTTACTGGGAAGCAGCAATTGCCCCTCAGGGTTAACCAAGGGGGAAGTGAGCCACGTGCCAGAGTTGCACGCAAATAGCAAGCCTCATTTTAGTTTCCTGCAGCAGGCCGTCATCATAGCGGTACCCCAAGATTCCGGAAAAAGATCTGGTCACAAAGTCCAGTATATTCACTGAACCCCTTTTTTCCCCCTCCAGAAAAATATGGCAATCAAAATGTAAAAAGCTCCGTTTCTCCCCCCCCCCCCGCCCCCCCCCCCCCCCCTCCACAGATGGGCTTCTTCCGCCGTCACTATCTGCAGCTCATACGCGACAATGACAAGGATGGCCGCGAGAACCTCGTGCAGGGTTGATTGATGACCCCAGCCGCACAGTCCGCTCGTCGCTTCATTTTCTTCGTCCTCTTTTCCGAATCACCTTGGGGTGGGGGGCACGGGTGGAGGAAATGCGTTTGGGGAAATAAAGGCGATGAGAGGTGGTGGGGGGGGGTGTAGTCGAGGGTGGCGGCGTCAATCCATCAGGGCAGGCGGCGCAGGTCGCCGTTGCACGACACACGCCTGTGTGACTCCTAAAACCAAGCTCTTTGATTGGTCAATTATAACGAGTGGCACGCCAGCTACCATAAGACAAAAAGGGGCCACTTTTAAAGTTTGTCATACCCCCCCCCCTCCCTACTACGTACACATCCAAGTAAAGTAAAATCCCACTGCTAAAAACCACGCATGCATAATTTAAACCGCCGACTGCATGCTAAGAGTTGTCTGCTTGGGAATACTAAAGCACAAACCAGCTTGGACCCATGCCTGATGCTTGATTGACAGAACTGCTAAAAATAATCACCTGGTTACAGTGGTTAAATTGTATATGCCGCACAAACACACAACACCATAGGGGTGGGAGAGAAAAGATTATAGCAGCTGGGCTGCCTGACTTACACCTTAAGCTATCCCACCACGGCAAAGGGTCCATCTCTGTATAGTGTTGTATATTAAAAAGAGAGAAGTGAGCTTTTCTAAGACTAGAATATTTTAAAATATAGACTATATAATTTTTGTTTCCTCTTTCACATTTTTTTCCAAAGCGCAGGCCAGCTCTGAGCAGCAGGCTGAAGGCATTTAGTTTACGAGACTCCATAAATGGGATCCAAGGTGCAGTGCGGTCACGAAACTTTCCTGGCGGTCTCCCGCGAGCTGGGCGAGGTGCATACGGGACACGGTCGCCGCCGTCCACAACACCCCACGTGTTCTTCAACTGCTTTTTTTACCAACATTTAATCAAAAAATTTGCTTGAGCTCATGTTACAACTGTTTGCACCAGCTGCCACATATATTCAAATTACTCAAATCAGGTTAATTAAAGCCTGCTGTCCTAGCCCAAAGGATGTTTATGGAAAACAAGAAAAATAGGTTGATTTGCGCCAAAGCAGTCCTGGCCACTTGGACGATATTGCAATTTTTCGTAGGCCTCTTCACATAATTGTTTGTAAACTAAACTATGTAAAAACGCCAACATCGTTGTAATGCAAAGTGCTGAGATAACCAAAATACGAGAATGTGGCATACCTGTCCATTATAGCACGAGTTGACAATCCAGGCGCGCACACACGCTGTAGTGAGCAAAGTATTACAATCAATGGGTTCGGCAAGGCAATTACAAAACATTAATGGTTGGTGTTTATATCAAGCACAAAAGTGAAAGCTTACTCCAGGATAGGAATTACCAACCGTGAAGATCCAGGCAACAGTAATAGCATCGTTGATGCAATACCAGCTGCACAGGGGCACCGAGGCCATTGGATGTGGTTTACCTGCAGTTGTCCGGACACAACACTCCTACCAATTTTGGACCACCGTCCAATGCACGAGGCAATAAGGAATTAAACATCAACAGATGTCTCATCATGAATTAAACTTGCAACGTCAAACACGATCCAGAGTGCTTAAACAAATGGGCCATCAAATACCACCGGCAGGCATTCTTTCAGCCACACGTTGCAACTGCGACTAAAGGCAAGCCCGTAAAGGCTTATTGGATCACACAAAGTTAAACATTTCAAGCAGGCTTATGGAATAGGCGCAGAGCCATTGCACGTTGAGGATATTCAATCATTGCGGTACAGCTGCATGCACATTTTGAGAAGGCACGACTCTGCGAGTCAACCGTGGCGGCGTCCAAAAGGGACCCACTGGATATTTGGGGAAAGGAGGGCGGAGGCGATATTAATTTAACCCAGACTGACAAGTGAACTGATGCACGATCAACTGCAGAGGCGAGAGGGCCGGCCACACGAAACGAAGTCTTCACGACCGCACGACGGAACTGCCGCAATCTGAACCTTTGCCCAGAATAGAGGCTTCTGCCAAAGTGTTTTGTCTGATTAATTCCAGTCTATGAAGCCATCTGTATAATTATCAGTGTTTTTAATATCGTACGATAATCCCTCTTTACTGAGTCTGGGAACAGACAATGCCAGCTTTGAGGTTAAACAAATATATATCCGCAATGCTCTTCGCATATAAATCATGTTGTGGTTTAGGCATTCACTTTAAAGCGGATATATTTATGCGATATTTTCCGTGCTCAATTCGAGTCACGTAACTTCCTGAAATATAGAAACAAAAATGTAATACTGAATGTAAAATATTAAAGAAACTATCCAATCCGTTTGTGCAACAAAAATTCCAATTTAGCTATTACAATCACCATTTCGTCATTAAACAGTTAAAACATGACTGTACACGATAAGTTTAATATAAATGCAATGTTTGGTACTTTTAAACATAATGCACCATACTACCAATGTTTTAATTTCAAGTGTAAAGCAGATTCGCTTGTGCTTATGAAAAATTATAAAGTGTAATAAAAGTAAAGGATAAATGTATTTATTTTGTATGTGATATTCTAGTTTTTATTTTTTACGCTTTTTGTATAACAGTTTACAACAAATTAATGGTGTTACAGACTTTACAGAGGATTACCATTATTACAAAACAATCTTCCAGAAATGTGCACGTCCGCTAAAAATTACTATTAAATGTTGTGTGCAATGTATGTACATATTCGACTGTAAATAGTTTTTTTAATGCTTAACTTTGTATGAAAGCCTTTTACTTGTATTGTCTCAAGTGGATACGGTGTCACAATAAATGCTCGTGACCCAACTCTCATCTGTGCAACATTTCAAAATAAGGTACACCACAATACAGCACTACCTTACAATTTGAAGTATAATTTCTTGGACGGTAGGAGTGTAAGAGCAACGGCTGGGGAAAATGTTCACCACCGTCATGAACTTTCACCACCAACTAGAAATTAAGTGTTTCAGGCAATGACCTTTATTCAGTGTAAAAGGATCCACAACTTTAGCTCATGACCATACATTTACCAAGTTTAAAACGGGATCATTAGTTCATGACGAGAGGTAAAAGATTTATTCCAGCGTGTGCAACATGTAAATAGCTGCACGAGTAATTTTTTTCCTAATCGGTGAACACTGTTGGGAAATTATACCGACACAGAAAAAGATAAATGTAAGATCACGGTGTATTTGGTGATGAAAAGGTTAAACACTGATGGCTCAATGGCTAAAAGGCCAACAATCCAATTTTTCATTAATTTTGCTCTATATATTGACCACTACGCTCATTTAGAGCTTCCAGAGACATCACAGGTGAAATGAGTACTCTGAACTTTCAGCAGCAACGAATCTCCCCGGGAGAAAGCAATACCCCTGGCACTTTCCAACACGGCACATTTACGGCGTATTTCGTGCACTTTTAGTTAAATGTTGCTGTAAAAGAATAAAATAAAATAGATTCGAGTTACAAGACAGAACTGCGCCCACCTGCTGAAAATCTTACCCCTATATATTTCCATTAAGTTCCTCAATCGAAACATCTTAGCATAGTAACAATCTCACCAACGCGAAACTAGCAAAAAGGGGGAGGGGGTATAACGACAGTAGAAGTCAGTTATTGCACGATTTACAATAAACCGATACGAGCGGCGGCCTTTTGATAGCACTGTTAACGCGCGCGGGCACTCTCCACAAAAAAACCCCCCACACAGGATTTTGCACAATGGTGGCAGATAAATCACATTGGTGACATACAACACACCTTTACAGTATGTACAGTACATCTTAAGAGAGAGAGAAAACGCTGAATGGAAAGTTGAGATAAAAAAACAGAGTTGGCAAATCATGGTGGGGTGAGAGATGTCCCCCTCGAAGCACTTGCAGTGATTGAGGTTCTCTGTGAATCGCCGGTAACTGTGCATTTATCACAGTCGACGCAGTGTGTGTAATATATATACATCAACAGTGGGGAGGGCCAAACAATATTCCCAGGTAAACACACATCCTTCTGCAATTTCTGCCGTTACTTTGAATGATCATTTACTAATTAAGTGTTTTCAATTAATGGAAAATGAAACCTTGTAGATACACCCCAAGGCTGTGTTCTGTGCTCTCCAACATTGGATGGACAATGTATTAATGAGAAAATTATAATCAGGCATCCTGTTATATCACTGCAAAAATAACGGGACTGATGCCACAGTGATGTCAATAAATTGTACCTGACCATAACGTTTCATTTATTTTCTTAAACAAAGCTTCAATCGTGTCGGCCAGCCCAGGACACATTCAAGGTACATATCTACAAGACCTGTTTGTTTTTATTGGTTAGATCTTCTACTTTCGAACCAAAAAAAAGGGAGTACAAAAAAATTAAAGTTGAAGGTTCCTCGGTGCACTTCCAAAAAGTGAAAATCAGCGGGAAAATTGTGATAGTAAAATTGTCTCTATCCCGAGTGCGCCACAAAGTGGGAAATGTTCCCAAATAAACATGCTTTGCTGTCGCAGCCTGCACGACACCTCCAACCTCTACAGCGCTATTCAAAAGTAAAAAAAAAACTGATGTATTTTGTACAGATGACAACCAGCTTAAATGCTGTCCACTGTTTACTATGTCACAAGATTGTTTCTGGATGTGCTCAGCCCGATGTAAGTCTCCAGTAACACAAGGGAACGCTGACGTTTTGGATTTGTAGGAAAGGAATGGTCTTCTCTGAAGCACTCACCACTGCCACACTACATAAGCTCCATCTAAAAACGATAACAAGTCAAGTGCACACAAGGGGGTATGGGAAATTTAGGATCCATTTACATACATTATACAGCATCACAACAGCAGATGTAGAGATAAATACAAACTGTTAAACACACACGCAGATGTTAACTTTGTTTCCATTTCTACAGGGTTCACGTAAAAGCGAATATAAATGTGTGCCGTTGCATATCACGCACTGACCACCGTTCACAGGCCACGAGTTGAAATGTATGGTGTCAACTTCCAAATAAAACTTGGTCTCCTTATCGCTGTACCATGTTGTATTAATATTCTTGAACTTTCCCTTGAGTATCAATGGAAACTGTGAACATTCTGCAACACCATACACATGCATCAGTTAAAATCGTGTAACCACTTAAGTGTAACAAGTGAAAAAAAACAGCTGCCGCAGTTTATATCAAGAACTTGTTCCAACACATTGATGTAATTTGCATGTCTTACAAACGTACACATACAAAACCCTCTGCGGCAAAACTTAACACATTTTTCAGCCTGATAACCTTGCAACACACCTTCCCCTTCATCAGTTCATCGCAGGCCGCAACGGGAAATGTGGCGGCGACGTGGGAAGCAAAAGGAACCACAGGCCAGATTTAGCACCTTTGGCGACGAGTCACGACGGCATTATGATGAGCGAGCCGAAACATGCAATGGCACCAACACTCAACAGCAGGGGCTCGCTTCCCGTCGGTGCGTTGGCGGTGCTGCGGGTCCCACTGTCTCCTGCTGGCCCCAGCTTTTGAGGGTGGCAGAGCGTTTGACCGCAGGATTTGAGGGCAGAGTGTGGTGGCCAGAGCAAGAGCTGGTCGTAGAAGCGACTGACGAGAGGTGGAGGGAAGGGGTCACACCTGGCTGCTGTCGGTGCTGTCCAGTTCAGAGTTCAAGCCTTTCCTGCACACGGGGCAGCTGTCATGCTGGGCAAGACACCACACGCACATGCATTTTCAGCCAAAATTGTTCATGTCAGTTCACTTAATTGATGGTCTTTAATTACTCAAGCAAAAGAATATTAAATATCACTTAACCAGGTGACAGGCCATTGACTTAAACGAATCACAGGCATCCGTGTTTGGAAATAAATACAAAATTATTCCTTTATAATGGGTAACTTGCACGCTTTGAATTTGAGCTGACAAGGACATCAAATCAATTACTCTTGCGGCAATGTTACAAGTTTTTTCAATAGCCACTTCACAGTAGAGCTGTGTTAATTCCTTTCAGAAGTTATCTAGGCAGCTGCAATAATCAAATAGTTGAGAAGTGCAAAATTAATGAGTGGTGAGCACGAAAAACGATAGAGTAAAGAGCTGTCTGAGCTCAGTATTTTAAAATAAATAATGAACATTATAACATCCTCTAAAATACGTGTATGAAATCACTGATAAATTGCATTTCATACATGGTTGCGTACGCAATTCCATTAGGGGAATTACCGCATAGCTCAGTCTCCAAACATAGACGGCATAAAAGCTTGCCGAGCCGACGATGCTGGAAAGCTGCAACGCTGCTCACCTAGTCGAGTCATCAAAAAGATTAAAAACTCAACTGTGACTTTGAAACTTTGGCCAGTCTTCAACTATATGGCTGTAAAAACACAAGCCATTTTAAGGCAAGTAGTCAGAAGCGTAATTCTTATTTACAAGCCAGGGAATAGATAAAGTGTTATGACATACAATACATAATAATACACAATCCCAGTTGGATTTAAATGATATCCGATGTGATTTTTGTCAGCCAGCCTAGGGAAGCATCCAACGTGGGTCGATTTTTATACGAGGTGCTCAGCCAATCCAACCTCGTTGCCTGTCTCCCGCCAGCAAGGCAATGTCATCACCGTGACCTCCCTGTTCACATGCCTCCCACGAGTGCTGACTCGTGGGAGGCATGTGAACATATCAATGGCAAGAATCATTTAGATGTACAGTGTCTTAATACTAAGCTCTACTAGACACTGTACAGAAACTATTTACTTCAATTTAACACGTAGGCTTTCGCGACCAATATTATTCATAATAAAGGTTTTTGGGTTAGATCGCGTTATTTATAAATGTGTCGTAACCCTCCACCACCCGACACGGCCAATCAGCAAGAAGTGTCACGTTGACAAAAGACAATTAGTTCACTATTTTCGCCCACCGGTGTGTTGAAGTGTGAATCCACAATATTTACAGTTTGAATAGGACGCTTCGCTGGTAATTACATCCAGCATCATCGGGCAATTCGCCAGAATTATCGGGCGAATTGCCCGATGACGCTGGATGTAATTACCAGCGAAACGTCGTATTCAAACTGTAAATGTTGTGGATTCACTCTTCAACACACCGGTGGGTTAAAGCAGTGAACTAATTGTCTTTTGTCAACGTGACACTTTTTTTCTGATTGGCCGTGTCGGGTGGTGGAGGGTTACGACATATTTATAAATAGTGCAATCTAACCCAAAAACCTTTATTATTAATATTTACTTCAAACTTTACGCAGTAATCATCAAATAACAAAGACTAGTCACTGTGAGATAGCAAACGGTAACACATACAATTAAAAATGTATGTTTAGATTAACTATTGAAAACAAAAAAACACGAATCCCATCTGACAAGGAGGAACCGATTTGCCCTCGAGCCTTGATCACACAAATTGAAGAGCGAACACCGTAACGGGTACGGTTGAGCGCTGCTCACCAGAATGAGCAGACGCTCTTCGCCCAACGGTGGCGAGATGTTAACGACCTCGCCTGGTATACACAGACGGTCGTGGGTTCGATCCCGACCCTGACACTTGTTGTATATTTGGAGTTTGCGTGTTCTCCCCGTGGTCGTGTAGATTTTCCTCCGGGTCCTCCGGTTTGTTCCCTCCACATTTACAAACACACGTTTCGATAATTGGGCAGCTATCAATTTCCAAATAATAAGCCACTTCGTTAAGCTCTCATTTGTGGGCAGGTCACTTCTGAAAAAGAGCTACGTAGCTCAGTGGGTCATACCTTGTGAATGTTTTTTTTTAATATATAGTTTATAGCTTAGTCAAACATTCTCACCATTTCCAGCCAAGGCACGATGCAGTTGCTGTGGAAGAGGTGAAGGCAGGGGAGTTGACGCACGCTCTCGCCTACGCTGTAGTCTTCTTTGCAAACTGCGCACTCCATGCTGCAGTCTGAATGCAAGGGGATGCATGCCACGACAATCAACCCTTTCGCATGACAAGAGTTGTCAACTTTTAAAGACAAAATTAACGCCTTGAGTGTAGTTTTCCACATGTACAAATATGGCATATTTAGTGCCCGCAAAATCCTACGTACAAGGATCGGGAGACAGAGCATTATACTTCAGCGTGAACAATTAATGCTAATGTGAAGCCGGAAAGGTGGGAAACGATTAATAAAAGACAATTTTACTCACTGGTAAATATAGCACAATGCTTTAAGAGGCCTTCCAGAAGACACTGCCAGTCCACTGAATAAGAGCCAAATGTATTTCACCCTCATAGCAGCTCACCAGCATTACAAACCCAAGTGTGAACTGCCAAATAATTTACAGAGCCGTACATATGCGTAAGGAGGCCACAATTTTATTGTGGAGGCCATCAAATTTGCAGCAATACTGAGCATTACAATACATTAGGTACATTATGTTTCTGTAATATTTAACAAAAAAATATGTACAGTGTATATACTCAGGCCAACAGTATTTTAAAATCCTAGGGCTCACAGGCACTGGGAGCTGTTAGCGTTTACAGATGGAGCAGATGAGTCATTTTTTAAACACATTACTGAGGTGTTCCTGCGCGATCGTGATCCGCGGGAGGGATGAGATCTTCTCCTTGTCAGCCGGAGGGGGTCCCGTGTTGTCCAACTGTCCCAGCAGCTGGGCAGGGAGGAAATGTGCACAAATCTAGAATTAACACGACCACCAACGACACAGCCCAGAATATCCAATGCCACATATGGTCGCTTTGGCTTAGTGGGGGGCTGCGTACTTGGTGTCTAAAGTTGGTTAATAATTAACTTGAGTGGAAAATCGGCTGCCTGCATGTTGACCAACGTGAGGCTCATGAAATTCACTTGTAAGCATTTAACAGAGTTGGTTTTAAGAGCAGAGCGTGCTATCTTAAACCAAGCTATTTTCTCGTGCAAATATGTTTATACATTTGACCACGCATAATTGTGCAAGTTTTAAAGATGTTTTGCTGTACCAGCATATTCTTTGTATCTCTTACACTCTTTCAAAGTCAATTTGCACTTGCGTCATATTAAAATGAACAGGCTTCTGTTAATCCCACCTAATAGTTTAGTACATTTTGTCTCAAGGCCTTTTGGACCATTGTTATCATGCAGAATTTAGGCAAGTAAACACTGGACTGATTTGACCTTCTGAGTTTCGTCAGCAGTCCGACTAGTTGCACAAACACTGCTGTTTCCAGATGTTACTGGCAAGATGGCTGCAACCTCCGAATACTTAATTGTTACTGAACTTTTGTTTTATCATTAATGGAGCTGTTAAAACCACAGCTCTTTCCTCCTAAACTGCCCCGGAGATTGGCAAGCACCTCTGTTTAATCTGTAAACATTTGGTAGGCACTTACACACTATCATTGTTCCAAGTTTAATTGAATGTGCAAATTTACTTGACTTGTTTGGATGTCAATCTTCAAAATCTGAATCCAGTTCTTAAGTTGCTAAACTAAGCTCTGCGACTTGTTCATGAATTTATTAAACATGCCAAATAGCCCATATCATTGCCTAACAAAACAAATATCCCCCTATAGCCATACAGACTGTTGGGTGAATTGCAATAATTATGGCCAAGCCACACGAGGTAGTGGTATGGCCGGAACCATGCCCAACCACCTTTGTCTCCCCAGTACTGATGTTTACGCATCTTACCAAGTATACCTCTGAAGACAAATCAACCTAGAGGCGGCCCAGGTTGTTAAAATAATCGCCACAGAATTTAGCTGTGGTCAGGAATTTAACTCAGGTTGTCGGGTTCGTACAGCAGTGCACAAATAAGTGTGTTACCACTCCCCAAATTCAGTGGAACACTTAACATGCATGTAAGCATTTAGGCATAAACATGAATCGACCAAAAAAATGCTCGACATATATGCATGCACTGCCATCTACAGTTGTACGTGAGAATTGCAGTTCATTATACGCGATGCACGCTTAAATTCACGGTCGGCATCAACCCCAAGGAAACGACCTTCATACCCAGGCATTTAAAAATGCTGTGCAAGGCAATTCCATAACGGGGAAAATGTTAATCCACGGAAGGAGGTAAGATACGTCCTTTATGCCCTGTGTTTAAAAATGCTGTGCAAGATGTATCCTTTAACCAGATATGCCAAGACCCTATCTTGGCAATGGCATTACAAATTATAGGAGATGCGAAACTCTGTACGGCAGTAACACACTTGCGTGATGATGGCGTCCAGACCTCCAGCTCCCCACACGTAATCAGCGGGGCTACTGTGTAACACATCACTAACAAACAGGGACGACAAAAACACAGGTTTATTTAATTATCACATTCCTGTTAAACAACACATGCCATAGTCTTTACCTATATAGTATACACATATAATCCACGGTTTCCAATTTAACTGCTGCATGAAATGCAAGCGTGGCTTTTATTTGAATGGGTTGTTTTCTCTTTGCTGCATTCACGCCGCAGCAATTTCCTTACAGAGTGAACGGAGGAAAAGGTGATCGTGCAGGGCCCCAGAGTCCACCGAGCATCTGCTGGATAATCCTACAGGGAATACAACACGCCCATCGTAAAAATTCAACAATACAAAACCCACACACATGCACACATCATTATGGTGGTGCAATTAGTCTGCTTGTTAACACGTTTCCAATTAAACCACAATGCTCCGTAAAGAGCCGTCGGTAAATTCGATCAGATAATCACTAGAAATAAACAATTATGAGCTATCTGTCCGTTAGTCCATATAATAATCTATAATTGGCTGAAATGAGGTAAACATAGGATGGGCTATGTTATTATGATATTTTTTATTTAAAGTGTATCCAAACTGTGCTACCAGCATCATGAGACAAAATAAATCCATTTGGGTTTCTCACACAGCAGCGCAACCCTTCGCATTAGAGTGGCTCAGGGAAATGGACGTCGCAGAACTGTCTCCAAGATCCCTTCAAGTGACCTCTGGTTCATACAATAGAGGGCGTAACTTTCTTACTGCACTCCCACAGAATGTAATGTTTGTTGCAATTCCAATTCTCATAGTTTGAATTTCACAAAATACAGTGCAGAACCAAATTTGGCATGGTTTTTGATTAGTCATTGGGGACTGGGCTGGGACCACAAACTGCACTTGACAATGCTGTTTATATCACAGGTCGATTAAACAGAATCTCATTGGTGTCAACTCGGGCCTTTGCACTTGTGAGCCACCAGGCCCACCTATAGTACATTGCGTCTTTAAACAGGGTGAATGCCTCCGTGAGGTTCCTTTCAGCAGCGATGTGGCGAGAGGTGGGTGAGCTCACCCCTCGATGGCAGGCGAGCGCTCCACACGGTGACGCCGGAAGCTGTGCCGGGTGCGCGGCAAGCGGTAGCGTCGGTCCCTGGCCTGGCTCTCTCGGTCTCGATCGCGATCGCGCTCACGCTCGCGGTCTCGCTCAGGATCTCCCCGCAAACTCTCAGCAACGGGCAGCGACGACGAAGAAGAGCCGGGCCTCTGCGGGTGCATGCGGTTGGGCACCCTGTCCTCGTCGCCATCGGCAAACCACGTCATCACCATGCGCCCCCACAGCTTGCGGCAGAGGACAAACGTTGCTCGCCGTGAGTGGGGGGCACATGTGGCCGGGTAGAGCTGGGCAAACGAACTACACCCTCTTTTGTTCGCTCTTGTTAGGAAATATAGCACGATGACTATTTCACAGCCTATGACCAAATAATCCGGAATTTTCCTGATCTTGTCAAGCTGAGTAGGGTCGAGGCTGCAGAGTATGTTGTGGATGATTGACTGCCACACATAACAGGTGTTACAGGCTGTGGCGTTACATTGTAGGCGGTGAAAATAATTTTTGCACTCTATTCTTATGCTCCCAAATCTATGCGCCCTGCTTTCATCAAGCGTACTGACAGCAGGTGGTGAAGTATAGTCAAATAACCCCCTCAACCTGCACGGCATGGGGAAATCCTCATCCAGCAGGGTACTGACAAAAGGATGGAAAATTACCATGTACTATTTCATAATAAAAAACCTCTGCAGAAAAATAATATATTTAATTAACCAGAGATATATTCTTAGCCATAATTAAAAGACAATCAATGTTCCCAATGTAATTATACATCTTCCAGAGTTATCTGCCCCAAGAGGAGGTTGGTTCAAGCTCCCTCCATCATGCCTGATCTTGTGCTTTCTTCTTAATTTCAAACCCGCTCGCCCTCTTCGCTCGGCCGACTGGCGTCATCTGCACCCCACGCCTGCCCTGGGCCACTATATGTGGCCGCTCTTTAAGTCACGATGCCCCTGCCGCCCTCTGGAATTCCTACCCCTCTGGCTCTCCTTCACTTCACGTTTTCAAATGACGAGTTAAAACTTAAATATTTTAAAGTAATTTCGACCCTCCCAAGTGTTCCCTTTCCCTCCGCTTGGTACCGAATTCTTCCTCTTCGAGATTTTGGTTACGTGATTTAGTGCCTTACAAATGAAAGTTGTTGTTGCATGCAGCATCCCTTTCTTAAAGTCAGAGCAGCGCCCTAATTTTTCTACCTCTTTTCCCCACCCCCATCATCCTTCTGAATCTTCCTGCAGCAAGTGTTAACCTCTGAAAATCTGCCAAATCCAGATTAATTTGCCTTCTCTGAATTGTTGTAATGAGATCTTCTTTGATTGTGCAATGTGCCATATAATGCCTTTGGGTGTGCTCAAATTTATAAAAAAAAATTTGGTAATTTTTTAAAGCAATGTACTCTTTTTTCCACTTAAGTATTGAATTGCCATGTCTTATAGTTACAATGTATTAAATTATATATTACATTGCTATGATGAACCAATGGACTATATTATGTAAATTGTAGATGGAACTAAGAAGATTATTCAAGTGAATTATTTTTAATATTTAGGTATAAAACATTGTTTTATATTTCTTGTCACTTCTGCTAGAGGCTTTATTAAACATAGTGATATAAATAGGTTTTATATATATTCAATTTAACTCGTTTTGAATTTAGATTTTTAGAGTTTGGCTATATTAGTATGCAAAAGCTTTACGGACATTCATGAGAGCACAAGATTTCCAATGCCCAGTTTATAGTAGATTGTGCTTTTCTGCAGTAAAATGCACACTGCAAACTAGTGATCTTGTGGAGCATGCCGTAGAAACAGAGGCACTAAAAGCCGCTATATCATCTCTATTGTAATAATATTTTGTGCATTGTATATTAATTATATAAAACAGTGTAGAAATTTTAGTGACATCTTAGTGTCATTATTAAAAAAAAAAAATTCAAAATGAGGGTGGAAAAAATTGTAATGTATTATAGTGAGCTGGCACGTCCCCAACATACATCCTCACCGAGACACAAGTAGCTAAAAATCTATTAGACATCAACAGGCCATTCCTACCACTTGGTGTGTCGCTCAGTGCTTTTCCGCAAAACAATTACCTCTGAAAACTGTGCCTCGGGATCCTGGTTCCTGTTGGTGGAGCTGCCATCGCTGGCACTAGGAAACGGAGTGTAAAAACGAGTCGACGTAGGTTATGACGAGCACTTTATACGCAACATCGTTGTTGTGCTTTAATCAGTTCCGTGTACTAAACACTATTCGCGGGCCACATTCACAATGACAACTTTTAATCGAATATATATTTCGACTAGTTCTAACCAAAGAAAGTTAAAATTACACTCTTAACTCCACTACTATACTTGTTAAAATAAGGTAATATTCACAACAACAAAAAATAGTGCCAATAAACAGTAAAGAAAATATGAAATGTTATTATGACCTCATGTAACTGCACTGCATTTGCGCCAGTGACACGTGATAAATGCACAGCGGAAAGTGTTCATCACAACAGATTACTTGAAGATGGAGTATAATTAACGTGAAGAAAATAACATTTTCCCCAAGACATATGGTCTCAATTGGAGTTAGAGCTATTGTTCATTAACCAAAATTACAACACGTGAGGATTCTTAAACCTCAACACAAACAAAATAAACATTGTGTGTGTACCTTGGCTGCTGGTCAGGTAACTCTTCAATGAAGCCAGAGTCGCAGCGTGGGCAGGTGTATTCCTGTCAAAAAAAGAACACTCATGATACACAATTGCATTTTATCATACAACATTGCATTTATGTGAGATTTACACAGTTATTGTATTTACAACATTTACAAAGTATGCCTCATCTGTAATGAATTTTGCAAATGTGTGTCAAGGTTCTTGACGATTTTGTAATACAAATCAGGGAGACAAAACTTATGCAAAACAAGTTGGTATCTTAAGTCAGTTTTTTTTACGTAGCAGCAGAAAATGATCTAATGGTGTTAATGAAGTTAAATAGCCTTTAATAATCACTTTATATCACCCTGGAGTCTCCCAGTAGAAGTTCAGACATAAGTTTGGCTATGACCATCGACAGGCCCCTATGAGTGCCGGCTATCATACATTTTCCAAAGACGATATGAGCTTGTACCTTTACTATGTCTATGTTTGTCGATAATTAAAAAAACACTCCTGAAACACAGTTAACACAGTGATCTAGTCACGCATATATTTGTCAATATTACAAGCTTGTCAAATTTTGGCTAAAAAGTGTCATTGCTTCACAAAAATTTCTATACAAATGCTCTTTTAAGAACCTTACTGTGGGTTTTTAATTAAATACTAGCCTTTCGCCTGTCCAAGGACGGGTGTATTTCAGTACATCTGAATCTTGCAAGTGAAGAGCAGACCGCGACGTGATATTCATTGCATCAATGCATGTGCAATTTCGAAGGGCGCGGTGACAGACCTATTTCATTTTTAGGTTATAATCCCTTGTTCATCATGACGTCCTTTTTACTTTGATGTCTCAATAGCGTTATGGAGATCGCGTGACGTGAGGGTTCTGCCTTTGTAGTGAGGGTTGTAAGGTGACACTGAGGAGGAGGCACCTCGCCCCCCCCCCCTCCCATGTGGAGAGATGTCACCCACTAATTAATATTAATGGTGGGGGGGGGGGTGCTACATGTGAAGTAACGTCATCCTCTCATGATTATTAATGAGGGGGGTCCATGTGGAGGACGTCACCTGTTCATGAGTATTAATGAGGGGGGCTGGTCGACGTGGAGTGATGTCACGTGTGGGACACAGAGACATTCTTGGCTATAGTAGTAAATTAGTGGTTTCCCATTAAATTTGTATGGGCAGTACTCATATGTTTACATTAATATTGCAGTGGCAAGAATATCCATATAAGAGCTTCTTCTGACTTCCCACAAATAGAAACTCATTCTATCAACTGTGGAGACACAAAGGGCTGGGTCAACTACCAACCGAGATAAGTTACACCTTCAACGACTGCACCATACAAATGGACATGAAAGGTGCTTGCTCGATCCTCTGCTGAAGGCTTCACCAAGATGTCAGTCTTGGGGGTTGTTGTTTGACCGTACTTCACCACATAGATAATTGCGGTTTGGTGATAGGGGCACCTTGGAATAGTTCAGATATTATTTGCTACTGACATTGGCTATGGCCAAGAAACAAACCCATGTTGATATAGAAAAAAAATGTAATTACTAAATATACACTGCCAGGAAATGCAAACTTTTTGGGATTTGTTTAAGCTTATATATAGATGGGAATGACAACATACAAAAAAAAGTTGCGTGGTAGCCAGTCAATTCCTGAGATGTAAACCAATGTTTTCAATTCTTATTCTTACGCCTGTGTAAATGGCCTGCTCTAATCTCGCACTCGAACATGTGGCTGCTAAATCAGTCCTTCTGTGAACCTTACGTGTATCTACACAATGATATGTTTGTGTGTGCGTCTCGTCTGCTTGTCCCAAACACATTCTTGTGGTCACATCTCTTCGCTAACCCGAGCGGCGGCGCCGCAGATACATTTCTCTTTTTCAAATGCGTTCAGTGATAAGCCTTAGCATACAACTAAATTCCACGCAAGGATTGCTTATAACAACCATCGGCTTCTGTGTCTTTTGACGAGAAGGCAGCTCTCCTCGCCAACATCCCACTGGAATTTGAGAATATCCGAGTGAGGTTAAAATTTACCAAATGAGGAGAGAAGGAAAGGTTTTGTGTTGAGAGTTGTGGTTGGCAGGAAGAGATGGGAGATACGGGTGTATGTAATGAGGAGTGACCGCAGGGAGGGAGGGAGATCAGGATTGAGCAGAGTGGTGGAAGCAAAGGGATGGGAGGTTTGCGAGATAGAGGGGGTTGAGGAAAAGCAATTATGAAGAGGAATTGGGAGAGGAATCTCGGGAACCGTGGCGATCGTGTGGTGTGGGACCTGGGTAAGTCGGGATAGCGTCTGTGGGAGAAGGGGGTACAACAACAACGAGTGGAGCAGTTGCGGTGGTAAGCTCGGGAGTCACGAGTGGAGAGAAAGTCTCGGCGCTGAAGGAAGGCGAGTGCGTGTGGTAGCATGGACGAGCGAGGCGTTGTGATGAGAAGCCATTGGGGGGGGGGGGGGTCGGTGCGGAGGGAGACCTCTGAGCATTTTAATAATTTAATAAATAAACAACGGTGTTGTACAATAGGGGACACAGTGAAGAGTAGGCCCTGGGCGTGATTTTGTTGTTAAAAAAAGGTATATGTAGAGCAACAGTTATTGTGTGGACGTAATTGTAGGAGATACGCTTCTCCTGAGATGCATCTTGTGTTTGATCCCCTGTCCGCACAATAAATAACTGCTTTTACTTATACATTCCTTTAAAACAAAAAGAAAAAAAATCACATCCAGGTCCTCCTACTCCTCCCACCGCTGCTGTCCCCATGTTGTATAATAACCCAGTTAATATCGTGAAGGTGAAGCCCCAATGGGGAGCAGTGCGAGAGACAAATCGAATGCGTTTGTTGAGCGGGGCCGTAAGGAATGTTGAGAAACGCTACGCGGAGTGCGGCGAGGCCGAGGTGGGAGGGGGCATTCGGCGAGGAAGTCGACCGGCGGTGTTGGGATGGAAGGCGGCGGCGGCTCTTGAGTTCGATCTAAAAGAGTCGGGGACGAGGCGGGGATACCAAACGGCAAGGAGCGCAGAGAGAAATCGTGGCCCGCCGTGAACAACTCCGCGGGAGACGAGAGAGGAGGAGGGGGGGAGGGTTGGAGTCACACAGTTCGAATCCCACCACCATCAACACCACCAACAACAATCACTGTAATAACAAAAACCATCAACACAACCGAGACAAATAAGATTAAGGTTTCCTGAACACAGCAGCCCCCCCCCCACCACCACCACACTCCTCAATCACCAACTAAACCTCAACCACCTCCCCCCCCCCTCCCCGAGATCTTTCACACCGAATATAATAACCTTGTTTTACTAAGGTAACAATGATCGCTCTCCTTTCGTTATCAAAAGAAAGAAAGAAGAAGAAACACCCGCCCCAGCCCGCCACGACCGAGAGACCAACACCCAGACAGACACACACACACAGAGCACAAGCCCACACGGAGCCGGCCATCATGAAACACTCGTCGGCGTTGTATCGGCGCAGCAGCTGTCCCCCGGGTTACGATGAACAAGGAGAAGAAGTGGTGGTGGTGGGGGGTGGTGGTGGTGGTGCGGTGTTGGCCGAGGTCGTGAGACAGGGCGCGTTTCTCCTCACGGGCAGCTTGGGGTGAACCTCGCGGGTGCAGCTGTGGCAGAAGAAACGAGTCGCCTCCTCCTCCTCGACAGCCGCCGCTGCCGCCGCCGCCGCCATCACGGGTCTCCCCCCCCCCTCCCACGGATTTACGTCACTGCGGGGCCGACGTGACGTCACTGCGGCGGACGCAATCGGCGGCCCTCTTGCCTAGGGGGGTTTGGGGGATAGGCTTTGGGGGGTGGGTAAAACTAAAGTGGACGTGGGACATCCTTTGCCAGGCCCAAAATTTTATGATTAGGGTTTTCCCCTTTTTTCTGGTAACAAAACAGGTGTTTGGATGTTAAAACACCAAACTGAAATATTTTTTACAAGGAATCATGTCTGCATTAACCACAATGCTTGTGGTCACATTGCAAACCAAAAAAAAACATAACTCTGATAACATATACATTGTCCTTGAAACTGATTGGTCAGACCAGAGGACGCCTTTTTTTGGCGTCCTCTGAAGGCAATTGAAAGATTGGAAGATTTTGCTGTTTTTTTCCTGGATTTTCTGTTTGCACATAAGTCACTTTAAGATGTTTTCTTGTTCATGTTTTTGTTTTTTGTTTGTTGCGGTTGCACCCGATTCAAGAGCCGAATGGCTCACATTGCTAAACCAAATAAATGAAAACTGTACCACAGCAATGATGATGATGATTGCTTGTGTTGCAGTCGAAACGTCGTGATAATTTTATTGTTTTATATTTTTATTATTATTTTATCATTTCCCTTCTACGTGACTTTAACCGAAAAAACCAAGAATATGAGTCCATGCAGTCACGAAAGCTTTAAATCAAAATTGAAACTGAATAGAACCAAAGCGTATGAAACTGAATCGTAAAGCCACCTTTGTGACGTCACGCGGCGGACCCATTCGTCATCGCGGCGGCACCCCCCACCGTGGTGGATCCCCCAGCAATATGGCCGTCGAAGGCGACTTTGGTAATTTGTCGACAGACTTTAGATTTGGGGCGAGACGTTTTACAGCATTTACGAATGTTATACACGTTGTTGTTGTTGTTAAACCGTTTCACGCGGGAGCGGAAAACTCACGGGCCGTTATAATGCATTTAAACCCCTTATCAGTGCCCAACTTATTACAGACCAATTCAGACCTTATTGGTCATCCCGTGTCCACTATTAAACCTCAACGTTCGTCCGACAAAGTCCCCCATCACAAGGGAGAAACACAGAAACATTTATTTAGTTTTGCCCGTATTAAAACTGCTGTACGCCGTACGGACCTGAAAAGCTCCCTAACTGGCAAACAGCACTGTGTTTCTTGTGTCGGCGTTAATGCCGCATGCTGCTAAGATAATGTTAATCGGTGTTACATAGGGATTGTGTGCTGAACAATCAAATCGCTCAATGTTTTGTTCGGACAAAAACATTAATAATCACATCTTGGGTTTGGGGGTGCATTCTTTTTTCACTTCAACGTTTCCCAATAGCGTTTATAAACGCCACACACGGACAGGTTTTTGTTGTTGTTGACACCACCGATTCTCACCATCGAGTAACAAAAGCGTTTAGAAATTTTCACATTGGCGATGATGCAACCGTAAACATTTGGATTTCCCAGAGCGGATAAGGCGAGCGGCGTGGGGGGGGCGGGGCCTCCGCGTCTCACCACGCCATTGGACAAACGCTCGCCACATCCGACGACGGCGACCAATCGGGCGCCCTCAACGCTCCGCAATAGCGCATCCGGTCTAGGGAATTCGACCCCGTGGGGGGTGGGGGGTATGGAGCACGCGGCCACGTTGATGATACGCGTGTGGGTTTTGTAACTTTAAAGAGTTTATCTACAATAGAGTTTGGTATCTTTTTTGTTGTTGTTTGTGTAATTTGATCGCGTAAATATAAGTGCGTCGTTAGACCCGCCACCGCTCGTGCCCAATTCGTGACTGGTACAGCGTCAAGACCGGTGCGTTGGAGAGTACGTCCACGGCATTTCTCAATCTAAACCCAGTTTAAAGTGTTTATTCTTGCTCGATGTAAAATTGCACGTTTCCATAGCCTTGGTATTTACGTCAAATTGTTGACGCAGAGGGAAGGAAAATAGGGAAAAGCGGCAACGTGCTACATGAGAAGTAAGTACTGTCTGTGTTAAATACAGTGACAGTGTATTGTATTGTTGCTCGATCTTACAAACACATCTTTGTAAATATTGTTAGGCATTTTTTTAACTCCACACCAATCACTATCCTCGTGAATGTACGTTACTACCTTAATAATAAACAATGTCCTAAAACACCAATACACCGTTACTGTAATTGTATTTATTAACATTACTCATTGTCGTGTTACACATGCAGTTGCCTTCCGAATCATCAAAATAACTGTCCATATACAATACATGTATTATTAACTCTTAAAATCGCAGTATTGTCCTTATGAACACTGTACGTCTTCGGAATAAATAAACTAAGTGATATTAAGTAAGCTTCACATCACGATGTGATGCATACCTTGCCAACCCCTTATCAGTGCCCTGTCTTATTACAGTCCAATTCAGACACCTTATTGGTCACCCCGTGCCCTTATAAATAGCAACGTTCATCCTACAAAGTCCCATCAACAAGGGGAGAAACACAAACAAATAGACAAATATTTTGCCCGTATTGAAACGGCTGTACGCCATATAGACCTGAAAACTTAATTTCCCTGTACAAGAATACGTGTAAGGGGCCGGCCATAAATGACGTCACGCGCTTTTGGACGATTTTTGACCCCCCCCCCCCATCGTCACAAAAAGTCAGACCCCCCCTCAAATATGACGTCACAAAGCTCTGCCCCCCACCCCAAAAAAATAAAATATGCAATCGCTTTAAACTACTGTATTGTCATTGTAGTGCGTATTTAATGTGGTGCTGCACTCTGATGTTGTAGGAGAAAACATTTATTAAAAGTCTAATTAAGTAGAACGTGTTGTCTATATTTATTTAAAGTTGCGCATTTTGAAGTGACGTCACATTTCTCAAACACCCCCCCTCGTCACACATCGTCACAAATGTCTGACCCCCCCCCCCCCAGGTGCGTGACGTCATTTATGGACTGCCCCCAAACCGTATGGTATTATTTCTATACTTTTAGCTACGCCTCTTGGTTGTGTAGGGTCGGCTGTCGGACAAGCGTTGGAAAGTTTTTGAAAATGGCCCGGTAACAATCTACTGGCACTCAAGACGCGTTATTCGCATTCAGTAGTATCGGAATGCCTCTAGTTAGCGCTTTAAGTTGTGAGGTGACCAGGAAATTAAGTTAAGCAAGCAGCAGGTTCGTGAACCTGTGCCAGAAAATGTGCGTTTCATCCCCTCGAACGGAGTTTGCAGGTGTCCGCGTTTCCACTCAGGAGCAAAATACACCTCAATAAGAGATGCTATAACATCTCAATGTAGAACACTCCTTAAAGTGAGTCTTGGGAATCGGTGAAGATGTTATGGATTAATAAGTGATCGTATAACAGCAACCCATTGCCACTGCCACAAGCTGCTCATCAGCAGTTTGAGCGATTCCACCGGGGGGGGGGGGGAGGGGGGTTTCCATTAATCTCACTTTGAAAGGCATGGCACAAGTTGTCCAGCACTGCATTGTGAAACTAAAGTTACCTTTTTCTATCAGAGCATCAATTGGTACACGTGGTTGACTGTCAGCACCTCCCTACCTCATTCCCAAACTCTGATATACCCAAGCCTCAAGTTAATGGCCTAACTTTTATTACATTGGCTACGCCTCCTCTGTTGAGTCCACCCACTAAGGTACTGTCTTAGCTAAACCAGGATGTGTATATATTCTTGGTTCTTTCGGTAAAGTGACTTTACCGAAAGAACCAAGAATATGAATCACTGCAGTCACGAAAGCTTTAAATCAAAATTCAGGATGTGTATGTTGAACTTCTTTCACACCGTACGTAGGATATGTGGTAGCTGTATGTGTGGCGCATTCACTGTGCATCAAACTCCCCTTTATTCATGCGTGCAGTCAACCACCAGCCCGCCACCATGACTGCGGTGGAGACGCGGCTGTGCGAGCTGCTACTGCGTGAGCACTTTGGAGAGTTGGTATCACGGGCCGGCACTCACCTGGTGCACATGGGACCGCAGCCGCTGCGCCTTGTTGCCCTTGGCACGGGCCTCAACCTGGACCAGGTGACAGACTGGGTGTGCCAAAACGTCGTGGTCCTCGGTGTCACTCGCTCACTCGCCGAAATACCACCGCCTTGACCCATCTGCACAAGTCCACCATCACTTCAGACTTCCAAGACCTCCTCTTAAGTGGCCTTTCATTTGGAAAATGTTTACGAAGAGGCTGAACAGGCTTATTACACCAATATGAGATCAGATTTTACAGTAACATTTGGGGCTAGCCATAGAATTGTTTACTTTAACACCAAACACCAGCATAGTTAGGCTCAGATTGGTGTTCTTAAAAGTATGGGTCGCAGCCCCTGGCTACCCTTCGGATTTTTCACTGCTCGTTAAAGAACAGCCCACGGAAGTAGATATCACATCTACCTCAGAGATCATTTCAAGTGAACTCTGGTCCACAAAGTAGGGCTCAACAATTTCCTACACGCCCTGCAATATCCAGTAATGTTTGTCACATGACACTCAAACCCATATTTTTACTTCTCATCGCTGGTATCTGTCCAAATTCAGTGCAGATCTAAATTTAATGTGTTGGTTTTTGTGCAGTCATTGCCGACCGGACAAAGACCACAAACTCGCTACACGTGAAAATCCAGTTCAATTTCAGGCAGTTTCCTTGATTCAAACCCAAGGACTCGACGGTGCCAGCTCAGCACTCTGAACCACCTGGCCACCATTCCACTCCCTGACGTACTTTAAACAGGACATACAGGGCAAAGTGCATTGTCTCACAGGAACGGTTGCTCCATGTCCCGGCAGGTGAAGAAGGCGCTGTGCGTGCTGCTGCAGCACGGGATGGCGTCGTTCAAAACGGGGAAGCGTGGCGTGAGCGGTCCCACCTGGGTGGAGTACACAGCGGATTGCGCTGCAATGCTACGCATGCTGCGCTACACGCGCTACGTGTACTGCGCCAAGACACTGTACGGCGACGCGGGTGAACTGCTGATCGAGGAGACACTGCAGCATGGGCAGCTCACAATGAGCGCCGCCGTGCGCCGTGTTGCCGACCGCATGGCCAGCACCGCTGACGGTTCGCAATGCCGGTTCGATGACACTTACCGTGAAGGCCCCAGAGGTTGCAGCCGTGGTGCTGTGGTGGCAATGCATCTGTAATGTGCAGTGGCTTTGAGGCAGGGTTGGTGAATCATATGAAGATGGCCACGTACGTAAGATGTTTGAGTGACAACCCTTACTAGTTGGCTGTGTCGGGTGGTGGCGGGTTTTAACATTTATGCGATCTAACCCAAAAAACCTGTTATGTTATGAGATGGCAGACGAGCAGATAGGTTACTGACTTATCTGTGTAAAATGGATTGTGTTTTCCCTTCACATCCGTGGATTTGCTTCAGGTACTCCAGTTTGCTCCTATGGTGTGCAAATGCTTAGTATGGATCTTGCCAAACATTCTGATAATCAGCCTAGGTACCTCACTGCCCTGCAGGTGGGGGTTTCACATGTGATAATTCATCATTGCATAATCCGCCACTCGGTCACTGGAGTACAGGCGTGCATCATCACCACACCTGGATAAATGGATAATGGTCCTGGACACATCATCATTGCATTGTGATGGTATTGTAAGTCACTGTAAACAATACTAACACTAAACAAATGTAGTAATCACTGCAGTGCATGTATTTGTAGATAGCGAGTTAAAAACATGGATAAAACGTGGGCTTTACTGAATCACTCCTTGCAACACATATTTGTCGGTTAAAGTAGAAGGCGAAGATTTTTGTCATTTTTTTATATGAACTTCATCCAATTGGCAAATATTAAACTAGTGTGCATGCTGTAAGTTTTTTTGTCCCCCTCATCTCCACGTTGCAGAAGGCAAGACGGTGGAGTACAGCGACGTAGCTGCGGCATTCACAAACCTGGTGAACACGCACTTCCTGCAACGGTGCCTGTCGGGGAAGGAGGAAGGGGAGAGTGAGGGTGCCCGCCCAGAGGCTGCCCCCATGCTGGTCTCCAACGAGAAGGACATGTACACTGTGCCCAAGATTCCCCTAATCGGTGCGCACTTGCAGAATATGGATCGCTAACAAGAGATGGTTCATGGAGTTAGCTTTCTAAAAGTTAAGAATAGGACATGGGCACACTCTCGAACTCATCGACAACATCAAGTCCATTGCTCTTGGTAATATTTTCAAATAATTAACAAACTTTTAAAGTAACAACGCGTTAATGGCATCCGTGTGTAATAAATATGTATGTTGAATTTCTTTCGCACCATACGTAGCCAACCATGCTAATCAGAGGTGCGGGGAAAGGGCGACAAATTAAACACAAAAAGCAGCAATAAAGAAGTAAGTTTTAATTTTAGATTTAAAAGTGCATAGCTCAAGTGGCTTCCTAATATTGGAAGGAAGAGCGTTCCAGACGGCCGCAGAGGCACATCTGAAAGCGTGTGATGCAGTGACCGTCTTTGTTCTATGGTTAGGATATGTGATTAGCGCGAATTAACATTTCCAGTGCAGTATGCCGTGGTACGCTCGACATCGTCCCTGGTAAGAGATTTGACCGGGTGGCTGCCCGTCCGTTGTACCACTGCAGGGCATGGGAAACGGCGTCTCTCAGCTGACAGTGACGATTTGGATGCACACCCGGCGAAAAAGAGGAAAGTCGAGGAGGTAACGTCTCTTCTGATACGCACCTTGTGGACTGTTATAGTAAAAGGCCAATGGTGAGTTGCACAGACAGCAGTTCCTGTAACATAACCCACTTGGAGGACAAATAGGTGTTGGTAAAAATCAGTCAGCAAGTAGGTTGTGGACTTTTCTGCAGATATTTACCTCATATTTTCCTTTTTTAATTGAGGTCTCCGTTGAAAACAATACTTGTCTAAATGGTTTCCCACTTGTCTGATCTTCTCTGCACTATTCTTTCTGCAGTCACTTCCTGATGATGGAATCTATTGGAGAGTCAACTTTGAACGTTTCCACCAGCATTTCCACAACCAGGCCATCGTCAGTGCCGTGGCCAGCAAAATGGACAAGGTCTGGTAGAGGTATCTCCGCTGTTAATCATTAGGATTTTCGAACTAAAGAAGGCATGCAGGTATAGCATTCAAAAATAGCGGCTCTACAGCTTAAAGTTTCATTGTGGTCTTTTTTTGTGTCACTAAATAAGTCGCTTTGTTTAAAGTAAAGTTACGGGTGGTAGACTAACCTGTGTACCTATTTTACAAAGATCCCCCAGTAATATAAATAACGCGATCTAACCCAAAAACGTTTATTATGAATATAATTATGTTTTAAACAACAGATGAATGTATAAATGATATTCATTTAAGAACATTAATAGTTGCATTTTTTACAGAAGAAAACATACTTTAAAGGTTACTATACTTTAAAGGCGTAAAGAATAAATGAATTGGCAAATGAGCAGTTTAGCTCATTGTAAAAAAAAACATGCATTGTGGATATGTGAGCAGGATTAATTAACCATGCTGGTTTTAGAAAAATGAGATTCATTACATTTTAAGTACAACCATCAATTGAAACAACGGTACCATAAAAAAAAACAATAATGAGAGAGTTTGCAGTTGGTGTGTTTGCATGTCGGTAACGTGTCTGTGTGTATGTGTTTATATATGTACAATTTTAGACAGCAGGCGAGATCGTGAGGACCATGCTGCGGATGAGTGAGTTGACGACGCCACCCAACGCGGCCTTCACCCAGCTGCTCGCATCAACCGAGGTGACCACTGCACCGCTCAGATGTCGGTCTTCCTGGGTCTTTAAACTGTGGCTTCTTGTGAACGTCCGCCTCTTATGGTTGAGAGTTGTGAAAACAAGCGCTCGCCTGCGCGTCGTGATACTTTGATGTCTGGCAGATTTTCCGGTCCCTCCCACCGGAGTATGGCATGACTAAGCCAGTGTTGGACCAGTATCTGAGTCTGCTGGCAGATGATCCGGTAAGCATCTGTCACGTTCAGTTATTTTTTGTGGTTTTTATAGAGGCGTCAACACTAATGTTTTTATTGTTGGTATTCATTAATATTTTTTGTTGGTATGAAAAGCTTGAAGTAGGACTTGGCTGTATTTTCCATTTCAGATGGAGTTTGTGACCAAGTCTGGCGAGAGTGGAGGTGGAACATTCATTGTTAGTATCCTCTTCATGACTGTGTGGAACTTTGTGAAAGTGAGGTGCAATCCAAAGTGCTTGTTTTTATGATGTCAGAGGCAAGGAACCAGGTAACTTAACATTAATGGACACAACGTGACAAAATTAAAGCTTAAATGTGATTGTTATCGTAGGACGTTACAAATATATGGAAAAAAAAAGATTTAAAAAAATTTGTGCATTTTAAATGCACTTTCACATGTGGCTTGTATTTTGATGATGGTCAAACACTAACTTTCTTAAGTTATAGCTGACTGCTGAATATTCTGTGAGTGCAAATTTAATGTATTTAAGTTTCCAGGGGGTTCAATTTATGAACTGTATGTTTTCCAATCATCAACGGCATTGCACAGCAATACCTACCCTTAATTCATCAACTAAATCTCAGATTTACTCAAATCTCTGAAAACCATGGCCCGATGTACGTTGGAATCGATCGTGCAAGAAAGGTAAGACTTTGCAAAAATGTACTTATTTTTCTTCACAGAGGCTTCAAATACGCACTTTCATCAGGACTTGCCGTGTTGGGCGTGTCGAGGATGTCGTTTCTGCCATCTTATCTCGGTCGGGGCTGTGCCCCACCGCGCTCTCACCACAGGTTTGGTTCCCGGGCAGCGCGCATCTTCCGTCTGCTCTTGCAAAAGCGGCATCTGGAACAGAAGCAAGTTGAAGACTTCGCCATGATTCCGGCCAAGGAGGCCAAGGAGATGCTATACACGATGGTCTCGCAGAACTTTGTCACTCTACAGGTGAGTACAGGGCCCAGTTCACCGCATGAAAAAGGGTTGGGGAACATTTTCCTTACTATCGGCCTCACAGGACTTTCAAATATTTTCGGTGGGCCACACATTAGGGCACACCTCGGTCATATCTGCCAATGCAAGATGTACTTGCAGTGACAGAAGTGATTGATTGCGCTAAAATCTGACGCAAGTGATGCTAGGTTGAATATATTAACCTTTTCCGATTAGTGCGGCTAAGGTGCTTGCAGTGATAGATAATATAATTGCCATTTGCAAACCGTTTTAAAATCATAGGCATCATGTGGCCATGGGCCGTATGAAATGAAGTTGCGGGCTGCATCCGGCTCGCGGGCCGCATGTTCCCGAACCCTGGCATACACCAAGGGATCAGAGACTCGTGTGATCCAGCCAAGCGGGCGAGTGGTTTGACCGAGTAGCGTGCGGTCCCGCAATGGCCTCACGTTGGGCGGTCTTATCGTCTGATGCGCAGGAGATCCCCAAGGCGGCGGACTACGCGCCTGCGCGCACGTTCTACCTGTACACGGTGAACGTGGAACAGACGGCGCGGTTCATCTTGCAGAGGTGCTACAAGGTGAGGGCCCCCATCTGGACATGTACAGTGAAGTAGGTGCTGCACTCTATATGCTGTATGTTGAGCCATACATTCTCCCATCTCAAATATGTGCATATACAGACCTTTGTAAATCCACTGTAGAATGAGGGCCATTCCCCCACACCATGTGGGTCGTGGAGGTAATTTAACCACACTTCACGCTGGTCAGTCGGGGATGGCGAAGGTGGGAAACGTAGCTGTGGGACAATCGAATACATTGCCTCCACAACTGGTAACAAACAATATACTGCGTGTAATGATAACCCATCCAAGCGTTATCCAGGCTAAACCGTGTTCAGCTTAGAAGGTGATTTGGTCATTGGTTACCTCCGATATATAGGGCTCAACTGATTTGTGAACAAATTGTTACTTTTCGTTACATTTTTGGAAAAAACATGCCTTTTTCTTCGTTAACTATGATGTTGTAAATCTCCAAGGTGATGTGCTCTGGTCAATATGTGAATCTGCCCTAGAGTGTGATTAATTTCACCAGTAATAACTGATTAATGTTTGTCCCCCAGACCGTGACGAATCTTATCGCAAGACGGCACCATGAAACTAAAGAGAACAAGTGAGTGACGTTAAACCATGTGGCACAATTATTTTGGGTAAAAAAAACGAAAGTTGTGAAAATGGAGCTTGCTGTTGAAATGTACTGGTAAGACGACCTCATTGAATAAATTAAAAGGAGTGTATTGCCTTTCAACATGTAAACCATAGCAACCTGCATCTGTTCATTGATTAAATTAAATCTACTCATTATACATGCATCAACTCATGTGTGTGAGTATTGGTTGTTTACCTTTTATGCAAATCATATGCATATCGTTGACTAATGTGACATTTGGCGATATGTTATCTCCCTCGCCTGGTACACAGGAGGGTTCGACCCCGATCCTGATGCCTGTATGTTTGGAGTTTGCGTGTTCTTCCCCTGTGGTCATGTGGATTTTCTCCTGGTCCTCTGGTTTTTCCCTCCACATTTATAAACATACATTTGGAATATTCTTTGGGCCTTTTATTATTTCTTTTATCTACATGGCTTTACCGAAAGACCCAAAGAATATTAATTCCTGCAGTCACAAAAGCTTTAAGTCAAGATTTATACATTTAAAATGTTTTGCCTTCTATAAAGTCCCACATATGAAGCAATTGGTGGGACCCCGGGGTCCCATCACTGCCTCGGGGTGGGAAAAACCGCGTAGCGACACGAGTCTTTGCCTTACCGACAACAAAACTAGTGTCAATCGACTGGCCTCGTCGAGAGCTACTCGGGGCACTAAGTTTCGTAAAAAGTTGAAAAATTACATAAACACGTTTAATTCACTGCCTGGGGGTGGCAGTGGGGCTCGCCTTGGCAAAGAAGCTGAGGGTCGACGGCTGACCGGAGGGCGTTGTCACCGCGCGCGACTGCGGCGGACGCCCCCCGGGCTTGCGTTTGGCAGGTGGGGTGGCGCCCATCGTGTTGATCGCCGCCTGCTGGCGATTGTTGGCGCGAGTCTGGGCGGGCGGCACGTTGCTGTCGGGATCACGAGTGGGCGGACTGAAAAATAATAATTATTGACCTGATTTTGCGGGACCCCGGGGTCCCGCCAAATGATTCATATGACAATAAGCCACTTAATTAAGCTATCACATGTGGCCAGGTCGCCGCTGAAAGAGCCCATAGCTCAGTGGGCTTTACTTGGTTTTAAAAAAATTGTCTAGTGGAGCAAATAAACAACAAATGAGAAACAACAAACGAGACTATGACAATGAGACCATTGAATTGTACCTCGGAATTGCGACAATTCATCAAATAGCTTGCATTTAGGCGGGGATGGTGGTGGGGGGTGGCGGGTGAAACATTCCATGCCCTATCTTGCTGCTGCATCATCTGCCGTGCGCTCCACACCCACAGACGCCTCTTGGAGAAGGCCCAGCGCATCGAGGCGATCCTAGCATCGGTGCAGGCGTCTGGTGCCGACGAGGCCCAGCTTCAGGAGATCGAGGAGATGATCACAGCCACCGAGCGCCAGCAGCTGGAAAATCTCAAGCGCACCGTCAACAAGTAAAGGGGGTGGGAGGGGGGGCAATCCTAGGCATGGCAAGATAGAATCGGGGGTGGGGTGTGGATAGGGTAACTAAGTAACTAAGTACCACGCAGGCTGCAGAATTTGTGATGGTGGCCGAGGCCTGGTGTTTTGTCTCCCCTGCTAAAACAAAAAAAAACCTTTTTATTTGACCAGGTAAGGCCCACTCAGCTACATAGTTCTTTTTCAGAAGCAACCTGGTCACAAATGATAGCTCAACATAGTTGCTCATTGTGTCGCAGTTTCTAACGCCCAAATACTCGAAACGCACGTTTAAAAAATGTGGAGGGAAAAACCGGAGGACCCGGAGAAATATCATCGTGACCACGGGGAGCACATGCAAACTCCAAATATACAGGCATCAGGATCCAATCCATGAGCCAAAAGAGAGAAAGCATTTTGATTTCCTTTGGTGGCCAAGTCAGAATGCTGATCAGGCACTACTGAGAACCAAAGTTTGAATCCAGTCTACTGGATTCTGTGAGTTAATGGTAATTTAACTGGGTTCTCAAGTGGAGTGAGTTGATGTTCTTTCGGTAAAGTCACGTAGAAGGGAAATAATACAAATAAAACATAATAAAATAAAATTCTCATTAGGACGCTGTCTTTCCGACAGCTCTGTTCTTCACCTGAGGACGGCTGCTTGCGTTGTGGCCAAAACGTCGTGAGAATTTTATTTTATTGTGTAAAATTTGTATTACTTTATTATTTCCCTTCTACGTGACTTTACCAAAAGAACCAAGAATATGAATCCCTGCAGTCACGAAAGCTTTCAATCGAAATTTGAGTTGATGTTCTCAGCCTGGTCACCAATAACTGCACATAAAGCCCATTCCATTCAAATTGGTTCTGCACTTTAACTAATTTTCAGCTCTGAGAATCGAAAATATCAATCATGCAAATAAAATATTCATATTTATCAGTCATGCAACTCTCATTACTCTTATTTGGAAGTGCGTGTGGGAATGTGCTGCCCTAACGTGTAGACCAGAAGCCACTTGCAGAGATTTCAGATGCAGTTCTGCAACATTTGCTTCAATGAGCCGATCCATTTTATGAGGGGTTGCGCACTGCTCTGTGAGAGATTCAAATGGATGCTTCATCGAATGAGATGACGCCTAAAATCGCAAAAACAAGATAACATTGGGAACAAAGACAGTGTTTCTTTTTTTAAACATGCTCATTATTATTTTCGGTTTGAACATGGAAACGTGCTCTGGGCAATTGGGACTAATTGGAACCAACCGTGCTCATCTCCAATTTGCACGGTTCTGTGTATGTACATTGGATTTCTTTTGCACCGTACGTAAACCAACCGTGCTAATCGGAGGTGCGGGGGAAGAACAACAAGCTAAACACAAAAAGCATTTATAAAGAAATTCGTTTTCAATCTAGTAAATTAGTTTTAAAGCTAGCTGCGAGAGAAGTTCAACATACATACATACATTGGGCTGAGATACGATGTGCTTGAGCTGCGCTGGGCCATCTGTCACTGCGTTGGCCTCTCCCGTTTAAGTAAATAAAGTCTGTCAAATCCAGCTTATTACAATTCTAGTTTCGTAGACAAATCGCATGCTACATTTATGTTTGGCTTCTGTGACAGTTCAGCTTCCAGCATGCTGTACTCTTGTCATTTTACAGATCTTATGGAGCTCTTATTAAATACATCTTTTTTATGTGAAGTAAAATCAGGTATCAAATAACAAAGCTCTTGGGACTGTGAATGTCTTGCGTTTAATGGGAAGGAATTTGCCCAGAGAGTGAACGTGGACGCGTCGCTCCCCGTGCGCTACCTGCAGGCTCGATAAGAGTGAGATGCAGGTGGACGAGACCGTCTTCCTGCTGGAGACCTTCCTGCAGGCATCACGGCCGCAGTGACCACTACGCACTCCAGGACCCGTGCCGTCTCAAGCCCACGCATCGACTCCTGCAGCTGAGAAGTGGACAATTCTGTCAACACGTGTTGTAACATTTACGAAGGCCAACAGAATCTCATTGAACACCCAATACGTCTTGCTGCACGTTGCACCTGCTCAATAATATCTGTTGGAAAAAAAAGGACACAAAGGTAGTATTCTGAAGTTTGCGACGCTTCCACCGAGAGACTTAATTCAGGCAAACCCAGCTGACTGATGGTTTGTTTGAGTTTGGGAGTTTCTGTAAAAGTCTTACAAAATTCTGAAATTTACACTCCCGTGGGCTGATATTTGCCAGGAAGCATGCACGGCCCCACGCCCTTCCTGCCGCGCTGCAATATTTGCTTTGGAGGACCCCGCTAAGGCCCGCGGTGGTACTGCTCACGGCCCGCATCCCGCTCGACGCCCCCTTGAGTGCCATCTTAAAAATAGGAAAGTGGCAATGTTTGATTTAATTTTTTTATTAATGTAAATAGGTGGTGTTGGCAGGGGTGGAGGAACGCTTTGGCACCGTTTCCCGGCCAAACTCATTTGTTTTTTGTTCATGTTTTAGTCTTGAGTCGTCACATCGCAAAATGCGGTCTCTCACAAGTCACGCTCGTTTGCCTTTCCCTCTGTGTATCTGCTCTAAAGAAAGGCCATTGTCCACTCTGTTAGCTTACCATTTTCTCAGTTGAAAAAGCATCTTTAACGATAACTGCGGTGTAATATTTCAGGGCTGGTACTGTGTGACAGGTGTTGGTTGCGTTCGCGGCCATGGCAGCATTTGTGAAAATTGTACAACCGAACAAAGCATAGCCCTGAATTGTTTTTTTTGTTCACATTCAACTGGGCATGTGCTTCTCGTCCGAAAGTGGAGTCTACAATTTGAATTTACGCAGCGTACAAAATAATGTTGGCCAGTGGTTGAAACAAATAACAGTGTGGCAGCGAAAGGAGTGAACACATACTGTACACCACAGAAGTGGAGCAATGAATGGCTCGTGTACAGGCTCGATGGATTGTTGCATCATGAGACCATGAGAGATGGTGATAGCTTAGGGATTCCTTAATCCAGCAGTGGACAGGTTCACGGCTGCTTGCTGGTGATTGGTATATCATGTAGCTCTCAACATTTCAGGTTGAACTTTGTTGATAATTTAATGGTACACTTGAACAGAAACTTTCCTGCCCATGGTGGAAGAAAAAAAACCCAAAATGTTTCCTGTTACTTTTTGCGAATAAAACTGAAAATACGTTAATTAAATCTCTGTACATTTGCAAATCTATTTTAAAACATGTAAGGTCGAAGAGCCTTCAAACACTTAGACGTTGTGCCTTTGTACACTCCGCGTATGCTAATACTCTGCACAGACAAGTGAACAGGCTGTCCAAAATGTCCTGTTACACCCTCCCCCCCCCCATCTTCAAGGTAACTCATGAATATAAATAAGTAACACGGTATGATTGAATGTAATTGGTACCGTGTGAATATTCAAAGAAGATGGGTGAATTGCACAACTGCACCGTCGCAACATTCACCGCTTTCACTTTCAATTATTGCGCAGGTCAGTGTTTGGCACCATCATTCACCTGACAAAGGATAACCGTGCACCATTGTGACATTTTACGTAACGTTTTATCCGTTGTCACCAACTGTTGTCCTGTGTGTGATTATTAAACTGCATCCGGTGATTGCGGCCAAACAACACCTTAGGAAAGCCACCTCGACCTTCGTTCCCTACTTATGGCTTAAGAACTCGAGTGTGGAGTGTGGCGAAGAGGGGGGAGAGGCATCAGATGGGATGGAGGGAAGCATTTGTCACGGACATATTCTCGGGCAGAGAACTTAAGATAAATATTACCCGTATCAATATAACGACTAAGCCAGCCGGACACAAATGTAACTTAGGGGGTGACTGGACATTGTAGACACTGCACATAGTACAAAGTTTAGAGTGTCAGGACTCCAAATTGTGAGTCGTGAGTTCAGATTGCAGCATGGTTGACTTGACTTAGAGAAAAAGGGCAGTCTTTTTTTTTTACCCTCGACTGCATCCAGTGGCGTAGCATGGTTGACATGAACCCAGGGCCCCTCTGTCCAAATTCCCCCCTCTTGGTTGCCTGGCATCTGGGCCCCCTCTGGAATCGTGGGCCCCTTGTGCAGTTGCACCGCCTGCACACTCGATAGCGCTGCCAGTGCATCATCAACCCGCACAAGGGTTGGTAAAATAACGATGGCGCTGCACCTCGTTCAAAGTAAACAGTAATTATCCCATGTGTTGTAAGGACTGGCCAAAGGTACGTGTAATTTCCATATTTGGTTCTGGACCACGAATTCAGATATATGTGTGACTGGCATTAAATCGCCTTAATAATCATGCCCTTTACCCAGGAAAACCTCCACTGAGTATGAAGACGCCTTTTAAGGTGTGCGCGGCATTGGTAAGGTTGGCCAGTTGCCATTAATGAGTGCCATGTGGGAAAATATAGGAGTATTCAGAGAAATCCATGCATACGAGGGATAGCACACACAGCACTGCCACATCGGGAAGACCCCGCATAACTATTAATAATGTCGGCGTTAATCGTCTTGAGGTGGCAGTCCAAATTGAGCACTGAAAAAAATGTGAATCGTCGCAAATATTTTTGAAAACGGGTATAAACTATTCCTCAAACTGTACTGTCAATGTGTTCAATGACACGGACACCATGTTATCGTTTCCACTGTGATGTCATTTCCAAGTTTCAAATGATTTACAATTCCTTTGTCAATCCACTGCTGGATGAAGTCTTCCCCCACAACGTGCCGACCAGGGGGGCTTGTTTGGCCATACTTCACCCCAATGGGTAGTGGACACCAGGATCGCTTCACATACGGTATTACTTGCCACCGATCTTAGCCGCGGCCGGGAATCGAACTCAGTCGCCAGGTTCACAGCGCACAGCGTAAACCACGGCGCCACCGCTGCTCTGGATTTTGCGTTAACGACGTCCATTTTCGGTATTAGTCGTGCTTACGTTGCCATGAAATCACGTTCACAGGCCGGCCACCGTGAGAAGGCTACCACCACCCGTCTGGCTGGCCCAGAGTTCATTGTGAGGCCCCTGACGTGAGGCCCCCACGACAAGACAACACGTGAAAACACCCCTCCCCCCGCCAAACCCCAATGGTTTCAAATGGTGTGGCGACCCTCAACATTGATGATGTCTTGTCGGCGAAAGTGCCCCCCCCCCCCCGCTCTGAAAACGAGTGCAAGAACACCGGTCTGGACCACTGCAGTCTGCGGCTTCTTCAACGGAGGAGGAAGAAATAGCAAAACTACGCACGATCTCTCTCTGTCTCTCTCTCTGCTGAAGCCCTCTCGTGGCGAGGAGACTTCTCGAAACATTGGCAACCGGCTCCTGAAAGGTGTCACGCGTTTGACGCCGCCGTCGTCGCGCAAGGAATTAACTCCCGCCTCTCGCGCCAGATTATTTCACGGCGAGATAAATTCGCCGGCACGCCGCGCGGTGGCACCACCGTATCGTATACCGAGCGTGATAATGAAATTAAAAAAATAAATGTGGTGGGTGGGTGGGTGGTGGGGGGTGCGGACAAAAATCACTTCCCAAGGCGCAAGAGCTGTTTAACTCACCCGGCCAGCCATAGCCATGGTGCGTAATGCTAAACAAACAGGCCCTCTTCTTTTCTTACATCTTTGAAATATTTCCGACAGCTGCCGTAGAGAGAACAAGATGGGGTGGGGTGGGTGGGGGGGGGCCGAAGGGAGGACCTCATTGGTGGGGTTGGGGTTGTGGCGTTGTGGGTGGGTGAAACAGAGAGGGCTTGGAAAAGTTGTTGAGATTTCGGGTAGATTTATGTTCACCGCAAGAAAAAAAATCTTACAGGTCACCGGTTAAAACACGCGGGGCATCGCGGACAAACGGTGGGGTGGGGGGCGGGGAGAGGAGGTGGGGGCCCACGGTGGAGGCGTTGAGCCCTTGAGTCCCGTGGCCAGTTGCATACAATTCCTTAAGGGGAATGTGTCCCCTTAGTTGACACTGATTTACATTGCCAACCGAAAAGAGGGAGGGGGAGGGGGATATCACTTAAAATTATTTATGCAAGCGACCCACGGCACTTCTCAAACTTCTCTGTCCTCGAGACGTCCTCCACGTTTAACTTGTATACATGTACGCGTACAGGCAGCCCCCGATGTCAATCCACTGCTGGATGAAGGCCTCCTCCACACGCCTCGACGGAGGGCATGGGGGTTATTGGACCGTACTGAACCACTCTGGTTCGTGGGGGTTGGTGAAGGGTGGGGGAGCTTACACGCGGGACCATAGATGTACAGCACAGAAATGGATGTTGCTGCACAACCCTCTGCTGCCCACCACGTAGCTCCGTGGCCGCCAATGACTCCCTGGCGTGTGCGCATGGCGGAAGGTTCATTGCTGCTTACAGCTTCCGAGATCTGACGGAATAGTTCGCCTTATTCCGCACCTGCGATTAGCACGGTTGGCTCCGTAATGGTGCCAAAGAAGTTCTACATGCATACCGTGTATGCTGTGTACTGTATGTGTGTAAGACAACTTCAAAGTATCGATTTAAAGCTTTCGACAGGTCTGTTCCTTTCACCTGAAGAAGGCCACTTGTGTTGTGGCCGAAACGTCGTGAGAATTTTATTGTGCTATTTTATTTTATTAATTTATTATTTTATTCTCATTCTACGTGGCTTTACCGAAAGAACCAAAGAAGAACTTCAAAGTACTCTCCACGCAGAACGCCTTCGCTGTTTTTTCTTCCGTTCAAATGCAAATGAGGAAGCTACGCACCGCCCGTGCACGATGATTGCTAAAGGCGTCTCGCGTGACGCAGGGCGCCCCGATTTAACACCCAAGAGGAGATTTCCCGTGCGTCCAGTCCATGTGTGTGTCCGCGTGTTTCCCATATGACGTGGGTAATGCCCTAAATTATGGATGATGTCATTATTTTAGTGACGCAATTATGATTCAAATGTAACAACTGTGACTCAAACTCAGACGTGCCGTCACGCGACGCGAGTCTACGAATCTTCTTGTGCGGAAGAGCAGGTTTTTAACAATGCAGTGACAGAGATACATTACATTCGTTTGTAAGTTTAGAGAACGCCCCGACTCACAGGGCCCATTTACATGTGACGCATGGGAGCTTCACCAGGCGATCATATGCTATATTTAAACGCTCTTTGATGCATGGATTACCACACCCACATGCAGACTTACGCAATTGGATTTTAAACACGTGCAATCCAAAGCACTAAAGCGTCATACTGAGTATTAACTTATTATTTAAGAATAAACTCCTCACAAAAGGTCAGCAGTGGACTGATCATGGCTGATGATGACGAAAATAAAAGTTCACATTGCATTGAGTTTCTCTGACCTTCTTTGGGTATTCGTCCTCTCAACATGTTTCGAAAGCCCTCTCTAGATTTTAAATATTCTGTGACATCGTGAAAAGTTAGTCGGCGGGCATGAGTAAAAGCCGATTTTTCAGAAGAAAATGACATTGAACCAATTGTGCACTAGAATCACGTTTTAAAGAGATTCCCGGGTTTCTATGTCATGAGGTCATGTTTGAGCAAAAAATGTAACGATCCTCAAAGCTGAGCTGCGCCTAATTAAAGTAACCCACTGAACTGCGAGGTGACCGGCAGACGGCAGTATAATAGATGTGTTCGTGTACTCGTTTGTGCGGACCTTGAGATAATTTCTTTGAGATTATTTTGGCCAAAAATCCCAATGCAGGACCCTCCTAAAAAATAAGTCTTGTAACTCAGTAAATGCTTTCTGGGCAACGGTCATTATTGTTGTTTACATGACAATTATGCATTGAATAAAAAAAAACAACCCGTAGAATAATTTAAGACCAGGCTGAGACTACCAACTCGCTACAATTGAGAACCTAGTTTATTCACGTGTGGCTGAAACCTACATTCGAACCCAAGGGTCTCAACGGTGTCTCCTGAATGCCCTGAACGCTATGAGCTTCCGGAGCCATCCGGCCTCGTTTAATGTGATTTCTTTTCTGGATATCACACGGTGAGGGTCGACGCACGCTGTTGTTGTTGCAAGATCATTGTTATTGTTTATCAATTATATCAGGCGCGTATAGCGCGTTATTAGCGGATCCCTAAAAGTACGTTTGCACGCACGTCGCCTGTGTAAACGTAACATAAGCACCTCCGATCAGCACGGTTGGCTACATACTGTGCGAAAGAAGTTCAACATACATAGTAATCGCTAAAAATACGAGGGTGGCCGGCCAACTGAAATCTCTCATCGTGAGTCTCAAGACTATTTCAGAGAGGATCCTGCATTAAGCCGTTTGGCCAGTTCCTTACCGAGTCTTTTAGCGTGATGCAGAAATAAAATATACCCAGACAAGCCCCACACATACGAGGAAAGAACGCTATAAAATCCGTAATCCGTCGGAAACAGACTCGCCATGCTGCCATCTATTACCCACCATGCACCCCTACATTATAGGCGTCTTGCGCGCGCAAATAAATCTCTCGCTGATCCACCAACCTCCACTCTTACAAATGTCTGGGTCGCGGACGTTCATCGCCACCAGCACAGCCCCGGGGTCACAGCACGACGATTCCCCTCCACTCGTGACAGAAGCGCAGTGGAGGAGGAGCGGGCCTCGGGCACGAAGCCAGCACTCGTGAATCGGAAGTGTTCGTTTGGCTCTCTCCAGGGCCAGATTTCGGGGGAGCGAGGAAGGGAGCAAAACGGGACACTCGTCCAGGACCAAATTACTCCACGCACACACAGAGAGAGAGACACACGAAAAATCGTATTTTTAACCAAGAGAACTACGACTGTTTATTCATATTATCGCTTGTATTTACATGAACAAAATAAACAATACTACCTCTATTGGAGTGCGTCCCAGGAGAGAGAGTTTGGAAGAGGCAGGGAAGGGTTAGAGGTGGGGGAAGGCAAGGGGCGGGATGGAGGGGGGGGTCTTTTCTGCTCAGTTGTTCCAGGGGCATGGAGATCCAGACCCGAAACCTGGCTTCTTCACTCACACAGACACATTTCAATTGGCAGCTGGCAACTTCCAGCGGTTACTGACGAGAAAAACAGGGGGCACATAAAGAGAGGGCGGGGGGGGGACCCTGTTAATATGGAAAAGGGAGAACCCATATCCCACAAGTCCCACGTGAACCTCCCATCAGTGGGATGAGACTCTACGTGCTGATTCGGAGATCACGCTGTCGACTGGGCGATCACTTGGGATCTGGCAGCAGAAGGAAGGCAGTGATGGCGAGGCGCGGTGGTGTGAATGGCACTGGCCGCAATGAGCTCTCTTAACTTGAACTTGAGCGCCTATCCAGCCACCCCGAGGAGCTGCCTCTGAATGGGGGACGGGGGTGGGGGGGAAGGGGGGGTGGTATGCTGCTGGTTCCTATCATTCAGTGGGGAGTACGGCTCCCACGGCTCACCTCATTGGATGACATACATCTGAGGAAGGAACACGCATTGTGTTATCGCTTGAATGGACATGGATTCCACATTTTATCTAACTGGCATTGCTCAGGAATAATAAATACATCAATAAATATTCCGCTTGTGGTCTGCTCTGCATGGGAAGTGATGAATGGGCAATCGGCTCTCAACAATGCTTCAGAGTGGCGGCTCGGTGATTCGGACTCCGCCGGACGATCCTGACCACGCGAGTTCAATTCAGGGGCTTACATCGGCGGCTATGGGTGTGATATCATAAATCGCATACGCACAGACGTAGCATGCACGCGCCGCGTAAGGCTACACGTGCCCAGGTATGCAGACGCTACGTCGCAAAGCGGGCGGTCGCATTTGTATTGTAGTGAGTGGCCGCTGACGTGAGGATACGGTTCGCGAAGAGTGCCACTGCTGCTGTTTCCTTCTGAAGCTACGGGCGGCTCCTCCAACCCACGAGACGCGGCCAGGGGGGGGTGGGGAGGTGGTGGGAGATGGGACGGGAGGAGGAGGGGGATAGGAGGGGGATCAGGAGGGAGAGAGAGAGAGAGAGGGGGAGGCATGGGTGTGTGTGTGGCAGGGGGAAAGGTGGCGCACAAGACAAGGTTACGGGACGGTGCGCGCTGCGTGTAAACTTCTGTCGCCCAAGTGACGAGTGACTCAACTTGACGGAATCGACAGTGCGCGGATATCAAGCGAAATCCTACAAAGCGGCAGAATGAAAGAATCGGGGTGGGAGCGAGAGGGGGACGGAGAGGGGGGGGGGGAAGATGAGAAGAGAGAGAGAGCGTGTGGCTCGACCGCCCACTTAGTAGGATCTCACCCCCCCCTCCACTACCTCCTCATCCATGCACCACCACCATCCGAGGCTTCCATCCCACGACCCAACCAGCTGCCCCCACCTCTATCCCCCCCACACATCCCCCTCCACCCCGCCCCTACCATCAGCCGCTTCACCCCCCCCACCACTCCCCCCGCCCCCACTTCCATGCCACAAGCACGTAGCCACCCAAGCCGCCCCCCCCCCTCTGCAGCCCCCCCCCCGCACAGCCCCCCCCCACTTCTCTCATGGGGGGGGGGGGCCGTGCAGGGTGCCGGCACGGAGCCTCCAGTGCCCGGACCGGGGTCCACTGCGTCACGGCGAGGCCGCGCCTATAAAAGCAGCGGAGCGCGAGAGAGGCGCCCAGTGACACATCCCGGGGCCGCGGGACGCACGGGCAACACGCAGACAAGAGAGAGAGAGAGAAAGAGAGAGAGAGACACGCGGGGAGTTGGAGAGACACGCGGGCAGACACGCGCGGGCAGCCAGAGAGGCGTAGAGCGAACCCAGCAGTTTGAGACGCAGAGAGGCGAGCGGGCAGTCGACGGAGGGGCAGGCAGAAACGCGCAGACATCGACGGAGAGGACCCGCAGACGGACAGACGGACGCACGGATAGACAGAAAGACACAGACAGGGAAACCGACAAAGCAAACGAGGGCATAGGCAACCAGCAGTAGAGACAGGCAACAAGCAGGGAGAAAGGGCGGGGGGGGGGACATACCTACACAGACAGTCACAGGCAGTGGCGCACGCAAATCAGCAAAACATACAAACACACTGGCCAGCTGGCAGAGCAGCTAGTCAGCTGGCAGACTGGGTAGCTACCCGGAGAGACGGCAGACGAGCGATCGAGAGTGAGCTGTCGAGAGAGACAGAGAGGCTGCTACTGGGCAAGAACTTTGAGGCGTGGTAGATTGTGGCGCAGAAACACGCGCCGATTGGAGCCACAGAGAGAGAGAGGGGAAAAAGGCGATAGCCGATAGAACTTAAAAAAAACACTAACGTAATCAACTTCTCCGAGATATATGAGATAGTTTAACGAATGCACGTAAAAAAGGCAGTCTATAGACATATATAGACTGTATATTAATTGTTGTCCACACACGCTTGGGCATAACTTGTGACAGGTGGGCAGGGAGGCAGAGATCAGCTTCCACACGCGGGGCGCGGGAAGAGATTATATCGCACCAATAAATTATTGTAACAATAGTAACACTGAACCCCCTCCCTCCAAAACATCACAACGGTGCACCACCACCACTCCTAGCACCAGCAGCACCATCACCACGATCATCATCAATTCGACCACCAGCAACAGCAGCGCGACCACCCAAGCAGCATAAGTAACAGCAGCAGCAAAGGGCTGCTGCAGTAGCAGCAGCAGCATGTCGCGACACTGTGGAGTACCGCTGAAGACGCTGCTGTTTCTCGCCACGCTGTGTCAGCTGATGCTGGAGACGCCCGTTCGAGGTAAGAAGTGAGGGCTCCTTTAGACTAGGAGAGGTCAGGCGACCTGGGCAATGGGGGTCAGGGTGACCTCGGTCATTGTTGAATCGGGGGTAACCCTGTTTTGGGGGTGAAGCAAGGGTGACCTGGGTCAGTGAGATCCTGGTGGCCTGCGAGTATGAGTCGATCTCAGAGAGTAGCGGGTTGGGGTTAGCTGGGTCGACAAATCCACGGAGCAATGACCACGAGAGGGGGAGGAAACCGGTCGTTCCTAATTCTATTGTAATTGATATTGCAGGTAATGATACTGTACCATAATTGTTGAATCCAATGGTCTGAGCACCGATCGTTTTGTACTTGCAAGGTGTTTAACCTTTCACAATCACTGCCCGTAGCAGTGAGATAGTCATTCTACTCGCAATGATCATGCCTACACAGTACTGAATATGCGCGTGTTGGTGTTGCGCAGTGGTTAGCGTTACTGCGTTACGAACTGGGCGAGCCGAGTTCGATTCCCGGCCACGGCTAATACCAGTGGCTGGCTGTTGGTATCTGAACTGGTCTTGGGGTTACTGCCTGGTAGTAGGTATGGTTAAACAACCCCTCGTGACCGATACGATACAAGGTGGAGAAGCATTCATCCAGGAGTGGAAAGATATTGGACGATGATGATGATAAGAGAAGTTTCAAAACTCACATTTTCAAGGTTTCGTGATTCTGATGACGTTGTTTTATTAATGTGACCAAACAATCGAAATTTTTCGCAATGGTTCCTGCGCTTGTCATCGGAGATGGCGAAGCCATCAAACAGGCAAAGCCAATTCGCAAACAAAAATCAGAAAATATCCTCCACCAATTAAGGGGTAAGTGTACTCATTAAAAAACAACTATTTAACTCAAAGTGTGGGCTAAGTGTGGGGAAGAGTGAGTTGTAATAATGTTACACTGCTTGCCCTATCCCGTCCTGATAACATTAACCCTCTATAACTCTAGCTCGGGAAATCTATTCCAAAAATATGAATCAAATACCCCATGTGTCATAATACGAATACTAAAATCATAACGATCAAAGCATATCCCTATTATGCAATGTACCTCGAGCAGAACGTCTCTAACCGTGTAAATGTAGGTCTGTACCGCTGGTCTTTTAACCCTCACCATAGGACCCAAGTTATTTAACTCAAGCGCTTTCAACCTAATCCCATAACATTAGCCCTGTAATCCCAGCCCCGTGACTCTAACCCTATACCTCTAACCCTAGCCGTGTAACCCTATAACTGTAATCCCATATATCGAGAACTGCAATTACATAACCCTATAACTTCAGTCCTATAACTCATCATCAGCCATCATCGATCCACTGCTGGATAAATGTCTTACCAAGCTGTCGCCATATCTCACGATCCTGCAATGTAATGTAACCCCATCACTTACCATAGTCATAGAACTCTAACCTTCTGACCATATAACGCAAGCCCTATAACTCGCACTAACTCTATAGCACTAAATCATATAACCTTTTTCGCTATTCCTATTCATTCTTAAATTATAACTCGACAAATAGGACCTTATACCTCTAAACTCAGGGCCATGACCATGTCTCTAACTATATAACCCCATACCGGTGATTCTTAAAACCATATAAATCTTACCCTATACAAATAACCATATCAGTAATCATATTAAACATATAACTCTCACTATATAAATATAACCTTACAACTCTCACCCTATGACTCTATTTCTATGAACCATATAATTCTAACTCTATAAACATAACCCTATACCTCGAAGCCTATATATCTTACCATATCCCTCTAACCCCTTAACCCCTATAGCCCTACCCCATCACCACGCAGCCCTCTCCTCCCTGCTCCTCCTCCCCGTCGGCACGGCACGGCTCGGCACGGCTCGGCTCGGCTCGCTCCGTGTAATGAATGACCCGTGCCCCGCGTTAATCACGAAACCCAAGCAGCGCGCGGACAGACGCGCGGGGCCAATACACCGCGCCTGTTGGGGTCGCGGATTCCAGACGAGGGGAGGAACACGAAAACAACAAAAACCCCCAACAACAACAACCCGCCACGCACACTGCCACTCACGCATTATTACAGCCATCAGCATTGTCGTCCTCGAGAGAGAGGGAGACACACACACAGAGACGTGGTCTATCCACTGCTGAATGAAGTCCCGCCACCCACCCTACCCTTCCACCTCTCCATCCCCCACGCCACGCGTCGTCGCCATCCCTCACGATCCTGCGATGGCAGCAAACTCCACCGCGAGACTTCCTCCTCCACGTGAGCTCATCCCATCGCTCCAACTCAAAATTGTGCACAAATAAACCGTGGTCACGATCGTCGTGAACTTCTTTCGCGCCGTACGTAGCCAGGCGTGCTAATCGGAGGCGCGGGGGTAGGAGGGAAACAAATAAACACAAAAAAGCAGTTATAAAGGAATTAGTTTTTCGATCTCGATTCAACGTCGTCGTCATCACGAGCCAGGGTCTATTCACTGCTGAATGAAGGCATCACCATTTACGCCATCACTTCAGTTTTGAGGGTCCGATTTTCCGAAGACCTTGAGTCTCCTTAGTTAAGACATGGGCTCTCTTAATGATTTGCTTACAATTGGTCAGCTTTATAGACATTCCTGAACATTATTACACGCATGCATCGCGATTGTCTGCGTACTTTATATGCATTTGCGGTTATGAGCGTGAATTTTTGTATTTACATTGCGTGAGCGTCGCTGGTTGGCTACGTGCATCCAATTACGGGGCCACGGCTAACACCAGTGGCAAGTAATATCAGAAGCTGTCTTGGGGTTTCCCGAGGTCAAAGAGACCTTATGTAAGTAACCCACCTGCTATGCTGCGCAAACATAACAGCAGTGAGGAGGCAGAGGTGGGTCAGGCGCGGTGTTCGCCACGCCAGACGGGCCTTAATAGGCGCTCGCTGACAGCACTTGTCCCAACCGTTAATGTCGGCTATACGGGGGATCTTTGTGTACGTGTGTGCCTATGATTGTGATGATAACTGAGGTCTAATTTATCAGCCGTTAGGGATGAAAGGATGTATCGATTAATCGACGACAGACGCATCGAAACGTGTGCGTAAAAAAAAATCATCGGTATTGTTATATTTATATACATTTGAACCCACTGCTTCACGTGACCCTCTCCGGCCACTAGAGGCCGCTACATTCACCGCAATGAGGGGGGGGAAATAATGATTTGATCACATAGGTTGACCGAACCGCTAGTCGTCGAATGGACAGAGTTTTTTCTTTCTTACTTAGAAAGTACGGCCCCGCGCCGGGCGCTTAGAGGGCACCTCGCGTGTTGCACCGTGCCATTAAAAAAATCGCGCTCATTTAGTCTGATGAACTGTCTGGGACACATGCTGTCAGCGAGCACCTATTAAGTACCGGCTTCCCGTGATTGTGCAACCGTCACACCGAGGTCTCCGCTTCGCTTGTGTTCACACACACACCGCAACAGGTCATCATCACGATCCATGGGCAGATAGCCCGTAGGTGTCCACTGCACGTTTCGCCATTTGTTTCCACTTTCCTCTATCGTGTGCCAATACGCCTCAAGTAGTGCAACATCTTTCTGCCACCAAATCTCTGATGTCGTCGTCGATGTAGTCGTCTGCTAGGCCTTCCCTCCCGCGACAGGTACCAACTCCTCTTCTTTGGTTCTTTATCAATTTATTATTTTATTCTCATTCTACGTGACTTTACCGAAAGAACCATAGAAGATGAATCATTGCAGTCACGAAAGCTTTAAATCGAAAGGTACCAACTCGGTTTAAGGCTGAGTCGACGTAGTGACACCGTGGTTCGCGTTCGTGAATGACCCCGGGGAATCGAATCGCGCAGTACGCTTGCGATGCACGCACACGCAGGCCACCCGTTAAGACTCTATATGGGCAAGTGCTGCTAACGAGCACCTATTAAGGCGGGTTTAGCGCACGGGAGGGCGGTGTGGTTACGACGCCCGACCGCCTTTGTCTTACTAATTATGTTTTTTTAACCAAACCGTTTTTAGGCCCAGCCAACGAGGGATTTAGAACCCCCTTCCCGCTGGTGTTGTGTTTTCGCCGAAAAATCGAACCTTTGTCCGCCGGGATCGTTGCGCGGTGCGCAAACACACACACACGCGCGCGCGCACGTGTGCACTCTATCACACACACGTGCATGCACTTATCCATTCGCCGATACGAACACTCAAATAAACGCCCACACACACACACTCATACGTACAAACACGTGCACACAAACCCATATTTACAGACACGCACACGCAAAGACATACCCACACGCATATAAACGCATGTGCAGTACACGGAACCGTACGTACGCACATACACACGCACACAAAAAAGACAAAGATCCCCAGCGTTGCCTACATAGACTGTTGGAGCACCCGCGCACACACAGACACCAATCCAAACTCACACACGCACCGACACACGAGAAGCAGCGTCAATCCAGGGCAATTATCAGAGCCGCGCACGCACAGAAGCACGATCCTCAACATGCACACCCTGATACACACATCCATACGTACAATCCCACAGAAATACATACACACATCTCTAAGCGCGCGCACACACAAAGACCCACGCACACAAGTTCCATACGCACACGGATACACGCGCGCACTTCTAAGAAAGACAGAGACTCCCCATATAGCCTTAGAAGACTTGTTGGGGCATGTGATTGTAGCGAGCACCAATGAAGGCCGGCACGGCGCACGAGGGGTTGGGCGGCCAGCACAACGCTGGGTCGCTTTTGTCTCCCTAGCGACGATGTTTTACACACCTCACACTCACCTAACCAAAGCCCATAATCACACAAACCCATATACACACACGCGCGCGCGTGCAACACGATAGGCTAAGTAGGGTGAACGAGATGGAAACACATGGAGTGTTCGTACAGCACACACACACAAAGACAAAGACCCCCCCCCCCCCATATAGCCTTAACTGACTGTAGAAGCAAGTGCTGTTAAC